CTTGGGGCTGGCCATTTCACACAGGCTTTTTGCATAGACCGGCCCAAGCCAAACAAATCATTTTTCGGTGGGCAACAATACAATGGGAATTGCATATAGCCGCGCGGATATTGTCAGTCCAATACTGTGTTAACCACACAAGTGTTGGTTTCAAGAACAATCTTGTGGGTTGTATTTACCGATATATTTGACATGGTCCACATGGTCGCTCCTGCTTCATCTTATGCCGGGGCCCCACTGGCCCATTGTTTTGCGCTTGTTGCAAAGCCATTGCGCCCGATTTCATCCCAAATTCAGTGCATCCAGGTGTCGGAACCTGTACATCAAAATTTGTTGAGCAAACGTCGCGTCCTCATGTCCTCACATGCAATCAGATGTTGATGATTTTGGAATTGATTTGATTGCAACTTTCCTGACGCCATTCAGGAGCCGAAATTGCGAAAAAACTTCGGCAAAATTTGACAGATCCAGCGTGGGACCCTCAATTTTGCGGCCAAATTGAAATCATCCGTATGCCGTATGCAAGTGTTCTCATGTGTTCTCCAATTTTTTGCAGTTGGCGTTCCCGATTTGTCCGGCCTCATGAAACATGATTTAACCATTCTGCAGTTCAGATTCGGAGGATCCGAGATGCAGTCCGACGGCGTTGCAGTTCCATGCCGGTCACAGACAGGTGTGAGGAACTTGTTTTGTTCATTTGTTTATCTCAGTGCAGCACTGATTGTACGGATCGGATTGACCCTGTTTTATGCACTTTTAAACAGAAGGCATCCAACACGTTTTTGATTCATTTCTCAAAAAATGGTTTTGCTTGTAGGCCGTCAGCGAAACAGGTCAGGCACTGATCTGCACCGGAACATACCAAAACAATGAAAATTATTTCTGGCACATTGTTCAATGATGTTCAATGATTCTTGACCTTGATTCTGAGGTTGGCTCCGAGCGAAAAACGACAGGCTCGGGATGTTTGAGACTCGACCATGATTTTCTTCCTGACCACCGAAAAACGTCGCAATCCACAAGACTCCAAACTATTAAGTTGTCAGGCGATCTGATGCGATCTATTTTTTTTTTCCAGATTTCAAGTTGCACAAACTCGTGCGCGTTGTAATGGATTTCTTGTGATATTAGGCCGCGATGGTGGTGCCCCTGGCGTGCGCAATTTGAGCCGAGAGCGCATTTCGGTTCGAGGAGCGTTCTATTGACTTCCATGTATATAGCCATATACAGCCTCAGTGGCAGTTCGTCTAAACACCAAAATTCGAACAGCAAACGTTTTGAAATCCGACCCTTCTGATCCATTTAAACCCACATTGTCTTGATTTTGGTCCCATAGGAGGCATGCCACGGCCATCCAGTCGTGAACGAAGAGGCGTCGCATTTGGTTCAATGCCATCGATGCAGATGAAGATGTTCTTTGGGACAAGGTCGACCTTCGGTTCCGGTTGAATCTGGTCGGGTTTCAGTATGTGTTTCACAGTTTGCACTGAGTTTGTCCCAGTGCCAGGTGGTGAAACTATTTTCCTGCAAGGTTGGGATGCAACAGGGTTTGTTGTTTGCAACACCAAAATGTGATGAACACAAAAAACAAAATGGAATGGTGGATAGTGTGCATAGATTTGGATTTTCAACCCAATCAGAGTTCACCAGCTGCCTCCCTCAGTTGTTCAAGGTCGGGTTTCACTGGACACGAATTTTGTCCCTCCAAATGCCCGGAACTAAATGCGATGATTTGTTCCTCTAGCCAGTTTTGGCAATTCGTGTTGGAGTGCTGATGTAAGGGAGAAGATGGAACGGTGGCATTTGATAGAAGTAAAAACAATTTCACATTGTCGATTGAACATATGGGAGTGCAATCACCCACTTCCGCTCTTTTTTTTTGTCAAAAAGTATTAGGTTTGACCAAATTTCTACAGATCCTTTCCCCATCTATGGTTTGATATGAATATGTGAACCGTTTGAAGTAGGACATGTTGGGACATGTTGGGACATTTGTTCGGTTTGATCGGTTTGTTGAGCTTGCCCTACCTGAGGCTTCCAGCGGGAGCATGAAGAAGTCCTCGCTGGGGCCTTGGGACAGTGGCACTGCTGTGGGTTTTCTGCGGAGCTGCAGTGTGCACATCTTCGGGCATACTGCGGCATACTGCGGCATACTGCGGCATACTGCGGCATACTGGTACTCGTTTTTTGGTTCGTAAGATGTTTGTTTTCTGGATCATGAAATCGACATTGACATAGCTGACATAAGCTGACGTAAGCTGACGTAAGCTGACGTAAGCTGACATAAGCTGGATGCCATGCTCTCAGATCCACTGGAGCTCTCTTGTCCGGATCATCTGCTCCTTCGAGGCACGGTGCATGCGGTGCATGTCATGCTGCAGGTCCGCGTCCGATGCACGTGCCTAGGCCTCGATCTGCAAGGGGCGTGGCCAGGGTCTCGGGAGTCTTTAGAGTCTCCGGAGTCTCGGGAGTCTCCGGACAAGCAGATTGTGATCAGATTGTGTAGATCACGCAGATCAACGATGTAGGGAACTTTTGATCTTTTCTCCATGTCAGTGACTGTCAGAGTATGGCTCAGTAGGGCTTGAATCAGGCTTCACCATGCTGTATCAAAGGTTGAGACAATCCATATCAATCTATATTAAAATTACCTTGCAAGACTTCAAGACTCGTCACCAATCCAGTCAAAAGATGTCAAAAACAATTCATCCAAAGTTTCAGAGGTTTGGAGGTTTGGAATGGTGAGGCCAAAGCGCAAGTGAATCCAGAGCCTGAGCCCGAGAGCGTGTCGAGTCTATCACAGCACATCGAATGAGTCGAGCTGAATGAGATTCGAATTGAGATTGGAAGGACATCTAGACTCCTGGTCATATCATGACTAATCATGACATACCTAGACATACCTAGACAAGTTAGCTCTCCATCGGTGATCATGTTATGGCTGTTATGGCAGCAGCGACAAAAGGTGAGAGGTGCTGAGATCATCAAGAATCAAATTATATCAAACTCCACATAGCTCCATATATGGACTCCATATATGGACTCCATATATGGACTCCATATAGCTCGATATAGCTCGACGGAGCTCGACCGTGAGCCGAGTATCGAGCTCTTCGCATCTCAGCTTCGATCCGCTTGGATCAGCACCTCGCCAAGGCCAATTCCTTTGCGAGGGAGGCGTACCGAGCCCCAAAAGGCAGACAATTCTGGACCTGAAAACTCTCACCAGCATTCACTAGCTATATTTATTGATTATATATACAATATTATACAATTATATACAGATTATACAGGTATATATACATCATATATACATCATATCATGTGTTCCACAGGTTCCTGGAGAACTGTGGATGGACAGGTTCCCGCAGATGCGCAAGCCGCTCTTGCCCGAGCTGTTCGGACCTAAGAAGCTATGTCAACAGATACTACAGGTCTGATACATTCTGATACTGGATGGTACTGGATGGTACTGGATGGTACTGGATGGTACTGGTTCAACGGGTGGGAGCCAACTCAAATGGTGAGGTCAAGCGTTCAGATATGTTCAGATCATATTGAAACTGTGGTGAAACGGTAAGGTCAGTAAGGGTTCCAACATGTTCCAACTAACACAGCATTTGACCTTGCAGCACTTGCATCTTGCATCTTGCTACGCTGCTGATCCGGCGTGAGGTGGCTTCGCTGCTTGGCGATGGGAGCCAGCAACCTAGCCGGCCTAGCCCTTGCATGGTCGGATCATTGTCAGTGTGACTTCACATTTTCTCAGCTCAAAAAGTGTACTTGAAGCATTTGAACCAAATTTGAACCAATTTGAAGTGAATCAACTCCCCAATCCCTTTGAGATCTGAAGCTCCAGAAGACAGGCTCCTCATCCGCTGTGTCAGCTGCAGTTCAAGCAGCGTCAAGCGCTGGTGGCCCCTTGCAGGAGGGTCAGACACCGTGAACACATTGTGAAGCTTGAAGGGAGTGCTGTGAAGAACTGATAAGAACTGTATACGGTTTCATTCGCAACTCATCGCAACTTTATGTTTTCTCATGTTTTCTCCAGATCGTTCCACATTTTTAGCCGCAATCCACTGCCATCCACTGCCATCCACTGCCACATGTGCCACGCTCAGGAGGAGTTGATGAAGGCGAGACTGCGCGTGACCTGTGCCCCCTGTGCCCCCTGTGCCCTTGCCGCCCCGCCTTTGGCAAGGTGAGCAAGCGACTGGGTCAGTTGGAACGCCATATGCCCAGACCATTACAGACCAATGTGCGCAGTGTGGACTGCGTGTGCCACACTGTGGGGTTGGGGTTGAGCTTTTTGGGTTGGGAATGGCTTGGCAACGTTGCCACAGTTGTTTCCCCATGCTCTGAAGCTGTAGCTTCAGTGAACCAAATCTGAGGTGAGCGGCAACGGTTGGCTGAAAATGGCCTCAGTGTGCTTGCCAGTTGCCCAGAGATTTGGACATAGAAAGATTATGAAAATTATGAAAGATGTTTCTTTTCTTTTTGTGACGGATAGAAGCTAACAACTTGTTTTTGAGATGCCCCAGGGATGTAAACTTAAACCAAGGGTTTGAGACTTGGTTCGACCAAATATCTTGTACTGTCCAGGCTCGTTGTTCTTCCCAAGAAAGGAGCGGTAGCATGCCACGGGACAAGGCGTGGTTCTCAGCAATTGGTATTTCAGTCAGACTTATTTGAGGTAAGACTCGGTAAGACCTTCTCATGAGACAAGTCTATTTGACGCCTGCCTAGGCTCCGGCATTTTCAAGCAGAGTGTCAGAACTCCAGAGTTGACTCCAGAGTTGACCTGAACTCACCATCCAACATCGTTTGAAACTACCCGGCACGGAAAGAAGGCTTCGAGAGTATGCTCGTAGAACAATCTGCACAAGTCATACGAGGCCAATTCAGCCACTTCATACAGACTCGTTTTCGTCGAGTCTGTCGAGTCATTTCGGAGTCTGTCGAGTCATTTCGATCATGGTCGATTCCACGATTCCACCGAGGTCGTCCAAGGAGTCGTCCAAGGAGTCGCCCAAGGAAACCACGCTGAAAGAGCCACCTGTGTCCAGTCCGGGAGAGGCGCTGGCGCAGATAAGACAGCGAGCTTGAGAAGATCCAACAAGCCGGGAGTCATGGTGTTTCAAGATGTTTGAAGATGTTTATTGACATTAAACATGTTTTAAGTACCATTTTCCAAGTAGGCCAAGTAGGCCAAGTATGCCAAGTATGCCAAGTATGCCAAGTATGCCAAGTAAACAGTTAAGCCATGTTAAGCCCCCTTGACCTGTAACTTGTACATTTTGTGCCAGGCTGATGGTTTGGAGAAGCCGGAACCTTGGCGCTTTAAAACTTTAGCCCTGCTATGGCATGCAGCCACAGGAGTCAATTCTGATATTATTGTGTATACACTACATAGAGCTCATTCAGAAGGTGAAGTGCTGTCATTTGTCTAGGCATCCTTGGTTGCTGGCAGATGGTCGCCTGGTCACAGCTCGCTTGGAAGGCCCGTGTATTTTTTATTCTGCATGTTTCTACATGTGGAGAATTGATGAGAATTGGGATTTGAAGATTTGAAGATAGAGAAATCCAAGAATTTCCATGGATTTTTCAATGGCCAGGTGAGAATCTGGCCTTGAAGCGTGCTGTGATGAAGGCCCGGAGAGAGATTGATGGGTTGGTCCCTCAGCCCTTTTGACAGGGCCTTGTCAGGCCTTTAAGCCAACAGTTTCATTTGATGCGGACAATTCTCTACGCTCAGATGGTCATGGTTGGTCCTCATTGGGTGTCGTTGGTCGTTGTTGTACGGGATTTTTCAATGGGTGAGCTGTTTGGTTTCATCTCATTCAGTGTTTTCCGAGGCTGCTGAAGGGAAGGGCAGAAGCAGAGGTGCAGCGTGATCTAGCTTCAGAAGCACATCTGCCGAAAAGCTGCTAGTTGCTTTGCAAAATGCAAGGCGCAAATTACTTCAACTGTGCAGGCCCGGGTGAGGGTGCTGAACGAAGAGAATACAGCGGCAGCAGAGGTGCCGAGTCGCTGACTTTTCTCAAGGTCTACAGTGAATTGAATGTAATTAAAACAGATCCAAAAACAGATCCAGAAACAGATCCAAAATGCGTCGAGCAGTGATTCGTCATGAGTTGAAGACAGTCCAAATAGGGTTGCGCTGAAAAAACTGGAAAGGCGTTGCGCCGTTGCACTAGCTCCCTACTTCCGGTGGAGCCCTCAGAGGTTCAAATGCACCAGATTTTCGAAAGGAAAACTGCAAAAACAGAAAGGAAGCGGTTCGGAGGGTTAGAGATGGTTGGAGTATGTTGGAGTATGTTGGAGTATGTTGGAGTATGGCGTGTAGGTGGGAACAAACATTTGATGTAGCAATAGAATTGCAATAGATGCATCAACGACCTTCGATTGTGGAGCGGCTCAATGTGGACCTTAGCCAAACAGAACCTTTCCAGCGCTGTGTGAAGGACCCAAAGACACCAGGCGCAGAAGGCTGGAACAAGTGATTTTTGTCATCTTCATTCTGATTTTCTTGGAAGTTCCTTTTGATTTTGAGAGATCTCTCAAGAGTTTGGTGACTCTGCGACAGCTTAGAATCGCCTTTCGTCTGAGTCGTCCGATTCGTCCGATTCGTCCGATTCGTTTTCGGATTTTTCGGTCGTTTCTGAATCGCTTCCGAATCGGAATCGCTGCAGCTGGCGCCGGTGGAAGCTTTCGGGGCAGCTTTGGTCTCAGCGATGGCTTCACGTCGGGAGCCCCAGGGCGGGCATCTGGGCATCTGGGCATCTGGGCGTCAGTCTTTCAAGATCTTTCAAGATCTTTTGAAGTCTATATCTTTTATCAATTTTTATCATATTTCATTATATTTCTACATGCATTGTTATAGTATGTATGTTGTGTAGAGTGTTGTGCCGTGTGCTTAACATGTGTGCCCGCTGTGAAGGAGTCTCGGCCTGGGCCTGGGGGGACGAGGACAGCCTCGAATTTCAGAAAGGTCAGAAAGGCTTTGACGATCACGTGTTTTGCCTCCGTTGCCTCCGTTGCCTCCGTTCACCAGGATCGACAAAGAATGGAGATCCAGGCAGGGTCAGGGTCAAGTCCTGGGTCAGCCATGGTCAGTCCGTTGCTGGAGTTGTGCCAGGAACACCCGTGGCACAGAACGTGGATGAGGCAAAGTCCTTGAAATACACTGCTTCTGGTGCCAAGAACTTAGCCCAGAAGACCTTCCATGCCTGAACCAACAATTCAAACGGTTACACGTTCTCACACCTTCTCACACCTTCTCACACCTTCTCACACCTTCTCACACCTTCTCACACCTTCTCACACCTTCTCACACCTTCTCACGGTCATGATAGCTATCTGATCTATCTGATAGCTAATTATCTGATAGCTATTTGGCAGCTATTTGACAGCTATCAGGCAGCTGTGATAGCTGTTATGTGTCGAAAAGGAGTCGTCTCAGAAGTTGCGCCAAGGACTCTGCTGCTGGAGGAAGCACTGGTGTTGGTCCAGGTGTTGGCCTCAAGGCTAAGGCACTGAAACGCTGAACAAGTTGGTTGTCCGTAGATGTCCTGTGTCCGCTTGGAAGACAGAACGGTTGGAAGAGATACAAAGACACCCTAGATCCAGAAGTTGAAAGAAATGTATAGAACGATGTAGAGAATTTGGTCATGGAGAGGAAAGAGTACAATCAACAGACTCAGAAAGAAACCAGCTGCTCTCAGCGTGAACATTTGTCGCAGTTTCTTTTTGGATTAGATTTTATTCATGCAAAGCAAGGGATTTCTTTTGCAGTCTTTGCTAAGCAACCTGGAGACTGTTTGAACATGGAGAACACACAAGTCGCACATGGTGCACCCATGATGTTCAACCTGATGTTCAACCCGGGCCCAGCATAGCGCAGCATAGCCCAGCCCTGGCCACATCCCATGACGACTCTGTGGCCCGGAGCTTGTGACCTTCCGGTGGTCTCGACTCTGGCGGCGACTATGACTCGTGTGACATCGACATCGATCACTCGTACATCGATCACAACGCAGAAGGACCTCACATTGTGACACAACATGACACAACCACACATGACCTCACAACATGCACAAAGTTGCCTGTCGTGGCATGTTGCAGCTGCTGTTGCATCTTGAATATTGAGATGTTTTGATTGTTTTTATATTGTTTTCTGCAACAGAAATGATTTTCGGGTAGCTTGCAGCAAGTCGCATTAAACAAAACGTGTAGTCAAGTCATGAGTTGTCAGACATGGATATGCATGATGATTACATGATTACATAGATTATATATATATATTATATATTATCGAAAGAAGTTTAGAAGTCAAACTTCCGACAATATGGACAGATGAACAGCAGAGATGGGAAGAGTCAGAGAGAAGAGAAGAGCAGAAGAGAGAAGAGCAGAAGAGAGAAGATCAGAGAAGAGAATTAGTCAGAAGAAAGAAGATGCAGGTGCGCGAAAAGGTAGGAAAGTCTCGAAACTCTGTGTTTTTCCAATGATTTGTGGCTCCATTGTCGAAAAGTAGGCTCGCTAAAGCCGCGGGTGCGGAGCCATCTGGCCAGATGAGAGATGAAAAATTGCACGCCCTTGTGGTGCGAAGCACATTTCCAAGTCAAAATGTACAAAGCACCACATGCTTGGATCACTTGGAAGTTGCGATGTCGAAAAAAGGGGCGCCGTTGTGGCACGAAGCACATTTCGAAGTCAAAATGTACAAAACACACTAGGTTCGGACCACTTTTGGAAGTTGAGATGTCGAAAAAGTGCACGCCGTTGTGGCGTGAAGCACATTTCGAAGTCAAAATGTACAAAGCACCACATGTTCGGACCACTTTTGGAAGTTGCGATGTTGGAAAAGTGCATGCCGTTGTGGGGCGAAGCACATTTCGAAGTCAAAATGTTCAAAGCACCAGGGGCTCCGACCACTTTTGGAGGTTCAGATGTCGTTTCTCGTGGCAGGCGCGAGGGATTGTGGACCTTGTCAAAAGTGAGTAAAACGTGAGGGTTTTGTAGCATTTTCAACTACAACCACCACTACACCACACTACACTCCAATACGCTACACTACAACTACAACTACACCTTCGCTACACCTTCACTACACTTTCACTACGCCTTCACTACACCTTCACTACACCTTCACTACACCTTCACTACACCTTCACTACACCTTCACTACACCTTCACTACACCTTCACTACACCTTCACTACACCTTCACTACACCTTCACTACACCTTCACTACAGTCCACTACACTATTACACTACTACACTACTATACTACTACACTACAACACTACACCACTACACTACACTACACTGCACTGCACTGCACTGCACTGCACTGCACTGCACTGCACTGCACCACACTACACACTACACACTACACACTACACACTGCACACTGCACACTGCACACTGCACACTACACACTACACACTACACACTGCACACTGCACACTGCACACTGCACACTGCACACTGCACACTGCGCACTGCGCACTGCGCACTGCGCACTGCGCACTGCGCACTGCGCACTGCACACTGTACACTGCACACTGCACACTGCACACTGCACACTGCACACTGCACACTGCACACTGCACACTACACAGTACACAGTACACACTACACACTACACTACACTACACCACACTACACTTACACAAAACACTACACTACACAACACACTACACTACACTACATTCCACTACACTAGACTACCCTACATTACACTAGACTACATTACGCTACACTCCACTACACTGCGCTACAACTACACTACGCTACATTTTACTACACTCCACCACACTCCACTACACTCAATTACACTACACTACACTACAACTACAACTACAGCTACAACTACAATACACTACACAACACACTACACAACACACTACACCACACTACACTACACAAAACACTACACTACACAACACACTACACTACACTACACTACACAACACAACACACTACACTACACTACACTAGTTGCATTACACTACACTACACTACACTAACTACAGCTACAACTACAACTGCAACTACAACTACAACTACACTAATTGCATTACACCACACACACTACACTACACAACACATTACATTACACTACACTAAACTACGCTAATTGCATTACACTACACTACACTACACCACACTACACCACACCACACCACACAACACTACACTCAATTACACTACACTACACTACCCTACCCCACATTGCATTACATTACACTACATAACATTACATTACATAACATTACACTGCACTCATTACACCACAAATGCAACTGCAACTACTCTACACTAATTACACTACACCACAACTACAACTCCACCACACTACAACTACAACTACAGCTGCACTACACCACATTACATCCAGCAGTTGTGGGTGAGGTGACCGACCAGGTGACCACTGCAACCATTGCAGCCACTCCAAAAAACACAGTTCCAACCACCTTTCGGTCCATCAGTGGATTCGCTCTGCCATCCGTGATTCACAACAACCAATCTCTCCTATAGGTTTTCTATTTTTGAAACTTCCGCCACCACCTTGTGCGGTATTACTGGTATTATATTTGTATAATATATATATATTATACTATATATATATATAAATATTATACTATATATATATATTTATATATCAATATTTTACTCTATATATATATATGCATTATATATACTATATACATATATTATTTTTATATTTGCAAAATATTAAAATACTATACTATATATTATATATTTGTCATGTACACATGTAAAGATATAAAAGATATACATGGAACAAACCTTCAGCAGACAAGCTTCTCCCCGTTCCAGGAGGACACCCTGGAGATGTGTCCAGGTCCAGAAAAGAGCTGTGACGCGCAGGCCAGTCTGAATCAATTGGGTGTTCTCACATGGGCAGCCCCTAAAACGGATCCTGCAAGTTCGCAAATATGAGGAGTCATTGAGGAGCAATGTGATCAATGTGTGCCTTCGATCATAACTGGGGCCATGGATGCAACTCTGAGCAAGCCTGGCAAATCTGGCATGTCTGTTTGCCTTGAATCTGCAATGTATTGCGAAGTCCTCCAAATGTCCTCCACATTTCGTATGTTTCTTGTATGTTTCTCGTATGATCAATGATTCTCTCAATTCCTGACGAACGATATGTGGGTTACATGTCATTACTTGTCAATTCGCATTTGTCAAAGACCGGATCAGTTTGAGTGACCTCATGGCCAAAGGATGAAATCTGAGCTCCTGTTTTGAAGGTGTGTTGCTGAGGATGCTCCCAGGGAGGTGGTAGAAGAGCTGAGATGTGACGCGGATGCACCGATAATGCCGAGGATGCAGAGACGCACCCAGGTGAGCCGTCTAAGTTCACGTGTAGCCGATCGGGCAGAAGAGACAGCCAGGGAGGCAGACAGGTGGAGCCATGGACCTCGACACAGAGGGAACGCTTCGAACACCAGCTTCAGCTGGTGACGATGACGAGTGATGCGGAAGAGTCGGTGGACTTACAGCACGAGCTGGAAAGGGCTTTGGATGAAGGACGTTCGGGCCGAGAGATGATCTTGATCAGACCGCAACACAAGGACGAGATGCTGGGCCTCCAGCGCAAGCTGATGCAGCAGATGGATGCGAAAGAAAGATTTCCGAACAGCAGACATGAAAGACTTCAGTTGGTCTTTCATGGCTGCTATTTGGAGGTCTTTCTCTCGCGTCGTGGCTTCCATCTGTTGCATCAGCTTGCGCTTTCTTCTCCCAAGCGTGTGGGGACCGTGCATGTCTTTACTGCGGTACTCATGGACAGATGACAGTGAAGAGCGCCGGGCGCCGGGCCAAGCTTGGCATGACCGGCCTACCTCTGGTTCCGGGGGCTCCGACTGGGTCAGACCGCCAGGGCATGCGATTGCATACAGAATCGCAGATTGTCAAGATGTATGTGGAGACTGAGGCAAAGGTCGTGATGGCTAATAAAGAGAGAGAAGGTCTCACTGCCAAGGATCCAAACCACCCAGGCAAGCTGTGCTACTGGATGTACAGTGCTGAGAAGGAGGTTCTCAACACCAACCGGAATAGCATTTTGTCCGCAGTGAAAATCTGCATGTTTAGAGGGATCAAGAGAGATTAGTTTCTTTTGAACTTGCAAATGTGCTGTAGTGTGGCAATACATGTTGCATGAGGCAATGCGCTGGAAATGTCACAAGCTGTGGACACAGAAAACCGGGATGTTGTGAACGCGTTGATGTGTGAGACCCAGGTTTAACCGCATTGCGTGAATGTGTCCATGTTTTGACTTCTGCATGGAAGTACTTTGCTGGACCAAAACACATTCTTCATTCATTGATCACTCAAGGTCACAGCCTGGACTGCAACTGTTACCAGCTCATGCTGCACAACCTGCGCGCGTTTCAGTGCCAGATACAAGTCAGACAACTTCTCCTACGACAGATGAACCGAAGCCCAATAAGCCACGTGCTGGAAACCCAGCAAGGTAGTCAAGGATGTCTCAATGCTCACACCACTGGAGCGTGGCAAGGACTTGGAGCAGAAGGTGATCAAGCTGAGGGGTGAGTGCGGTAATCTCCAATGTCAAATGCAAACGCTGGAGTTTGGACATGGACTGGCAAAGGAGCTTGGAAAGTATGAGAAGGAATTTGAGTGTTGTCCTTAGTATGGTATATTGCATGTTGTCCACAATACTGTTGCATGTTAATTGTCCTTCATACTTCATACCCTGTGCAATACATGTTTTGGATGGATCAGGTCACTATACCACAAGCTTCGCAGATTGACTGCTGGTGATATCCAAGAAGAAGATCAATATCTGCCATTGGTACGGGACTTTTTGCGGCTGAGCATTTTGGCTGCCATTCAGATTGACACATGCCAGTGGGTCGTTTCAGTTTCGGGCTCAAGCTGGCCTGTGTTTTACATATGTCACACTCAGGTAAGGAATATGATGCGCCAAAGCAAGCTGCTCAAAGCATGGCCAAAGGCATCAAGAGCAAACGGCCTAGTACTGGCGGTGGACCTGCTAAAAGGGCCAAGAAGTGATGAGTGGTGATGTGGTTAAGTTCAACGTTGAATTCTGTCATGCAATATTTTACAGATGTTTCATTGCTCTGCAAATGAGTCACTCTTGTGCCTTTGGGTTGCATTGCACCAGACATTCCTTCCGTGAACTGATTTGAATCGAATCGTTTCTGGAATGGCACCAAGCTTCCAAGTATACAATGTTTTTCGTGAAGGGCAACATAGTTTCCAGCTAGATATATATGATATTGTTTTGCAGTTTGGTGAAAGAATGGGTAGTGCCAATGCAGACACATGTGAACATGTGTCAAATAGACTTTCGCGGTGGCACAAAAAGTGTTATCTCAAGCTTTTCTATAGCGATCCTATCAGGAAAACCATGGGCAGTTTCACCAGTGTTTAGCACAAGAGAAAGGCTCCTAAAGGCCAGTCCCGGATCGAATTCTTCATTGCTTACCCCTGCATTAATGCATATGCTGTCAGTCAGTGCTAAGCAAGTGTAGGTGACAAATGATCAACGATCATGTTGGCTTGTGCCAGACAAGATGCGCGGAAAAAACAGTGAGTATCAGCATGCATGCATTGGAGCAGCAGCATGCATGTGCTCATGCCTGACCATGTTTCGCTTTGCATATTCACAGCCATGCATTCAAGCAGCCATAGTTTGATTCATGCAGGTACCATCAACCTGCACATCTTGCACCAGATCATGCATCATCTGGAAAACGTGCCAAGAAGATGCAACTGGGATCTAAACCAGCTGTCACGCAGTATATTTGCAGGATCACCTGTGTTTGGTACAGTATGCGCAATGAAATTTGCGAATTCAGGGAACCAGTGGAATTCGACAGCATGGGTTGCTCTATACTGGCCGAATCAATGGGTGCAGGTGTGACTTGACCTTATGATGTGCATCATGCATGTGTCATGTGTTTGCCAACCATGTGCATGCATATATTGCGCAATATATATAGTTGTGCAGGATGTTGGGCCTGACAGATTGAGAACCAAGGCATTGTCAGTCAAACAGTGTTCTGCCATTGCTGCTGGATTCCAGAGCGATGGAGTGCGTGGACATGCAATCCGGCAATTTGCAAAACGTCATGCTGAGCGTGACATGTTCCGGTGGACGCTTTTCAGCAAATGAGACAGATGTCATTGCTCTTAATTTTGCAAGTGCAAGCACGTGTGTTTGAAACCTAGCAGTTTCGAAATGCAGCCAACTTGAAGCTGAGATAAGGATCAAGTTGCCTATTCAACCCTATATTGCGCAGAATCTGAGCTGCGTATTGAAAAAATGTACAGTTGAATTTGTCCTTCCTTGCATGATTGCATGGACCGTGTCAAACCACAGCCGCAGTCAGATGTGTATATACCAGTGTGCGTGAAACATAACAAGCAGATGTATGCTTCACACAATGCCGAGGATCCGCTGTTAACAACAGTGGGCTTGGACAAGAAGGAAGTCTTGCAAGATGTGGGATTTATTTTGCCTTCTGACATCATTGATTTTGTCATGAGGCAGGACAAATCCGTGGCAGAGAGTTCTTTTTTCTCTGAGGGCATACAAGAGGTGGAGAAATTCTGGTTGAATGAGCAGCCTGACCACATACAACGACTGAGATTGCAAAGGGAAGAATTTGCATCAACCTTACCTATATGCTGGCATGAAGATGCAGTTCCGCATTTCCAAAACGACACAGCGACCTTTTACAGCTGGAGTACCCCACTTACTTTTGGAGGAGCCTGGACATCCCGAAATTGTTTTGTGGGCCTGCCAACATCACAGATGACCAAGGCCACTCGACGCAAAATTTTGCAGGTATTGAGCTGGGATATGAGAACACTGTCAAGTGGGATCAGACCAGAGGCAAACCATGAAGGCAAACCATTGACTGGAAAAAGGTTGGATTTGGCCTCTAAGCCACTAGCAGGTGGTTGGAAAGGGAAATTTTGTTTCTGGAAAGGGGACGCAGAAGCCCGATGGCATGCACATGACACTGGGCATGATTTGGTTTGAATCCTTCTTTTGTTTTTGCTTTTCCACATACTGACACAGCACCAGTGCAGGTGGTTTTAGATGAACTTTTGCAGATGGTTTGATTCACGATTGATTTGACAGTATATTGTGATAAGGAGCTGGAGAGATATTACCGCTGCTCGTTCCTGTGCGATTGCTGCCTGGCCAACCAGACGCTTGAGTGGCTCCAGTGGTGACTTCAGTGCAAATGCCAGGTGGCGAACAACAATGACAGTTTTTGGTGACCATCCTGACCCATCACCATGGGGAGTTGTTGAAGGTTATCACAAGTCACGGTGCCTTTGGGATGGTGCCTAGCTTGCAGTCATATTGAAGAGACAGCACTCCTACAGATCACAAATGTTTGTTGATGCATATATTTCCCCCAAGCTGCATGCCACATGACCTGTGTGCTCTCCAACTAAGTCATGCATGTGCTGCACATCGGGGTCATTGGTGACGTTGTGGCATCATGCCTTGCAGAACTTTTGAAAGACGGTACCTTGACATGCATTGATGCATGGTGAATCTCTACCATGCCATAAGCATATAAGATCTTTCTCAGAATGTTTGATTGACCATGGACCTAGGTACCCTTTGCCAGCTCATGCATCTACCTCCAGAAGCTTCCCCTGACTTAGTTCTCCTCCGGACTACACTGGCAGCACAGCAGTGGGCCAAAGAAAGAAAGTTAGACTTGAGCATCAAACCCTTGACACTGGCTTCGCTGAATTTGGGTGATGGCTGCAAGTATCCCGAGCTGGATTCACAGATCAAGGCTGCAAGAACACGAGTTCTTTTCGAGTTCACAACGATTCTTGCCATTCTTTTCAGAGCAACAGCCAAGTTGGATTTTTGTTTAAATGCTTCAATGAAAACAGGTTATACCAGATTTATTGAAAGGAACTGCACGTATACTAATGCAGACATATTTCCATTGCATTGCTGGAACCCCCAATGCAAAGCACTTGATCAATGGCAGTTGAGGAAGTTGGTGCTTGATGCAGTCACTTGCAAGGAAATTTGCCAGACATGCTTTTGATTTGTGTGCAGTGTTGTTCTGGGATGCATCCATGCATGGTTTGAAATGTTGCTTTGACTTTCTTCAGTCTTGTCTGATCGAGGAAAACCTCCTGGACGAGACTGCTGACCCAGAAGCAGTATTTCATGCCCAAGTCCGTGCATGTATGTGCTTTTCACTGAGCAATTTGCTCTCCACATGGTCCCAAGGAGGTCGGCCACTCTTGCAGCCTGCAGAACGAAAAGCAACCCAGAGGCTTGGTGTTTGGTTTCTGGCTGCCTACTCGTACCTAGCTGCAAAGGCACTTGAGAGACGGTTGCTGCTGTACAAGCTGCGGCCAAAGCACCATTATTTGGTGCACCTCTTGGAGCACGCGGCGGAGAGTGGAATGAATCCTATGCACCTTTCCAATTTTTTGGATGAAGATAATATGAAGATGATGAGAGGTGTTGCTAAAGCGTGCCACGCAAAAACCGTGAAGCATGCTTGGGCCAGGAGGTACATTCTGAAGAAAGTGCTTGGCTGGCATGGAAGTAAAAAAATGCATGCTGATCTGCACAGCTTTGGGTTTTTAGTGAATAATTGCGGTCAAAGAAAGAAATGTTTTTTCGATCTCCAAGGCTGTGTCATTTTGCTTGTACGTGATGCATTGGTTCATTCAAAACATGCATTCCGAGCTGCCAAGCTGTCGTCTGTCGTTTTGAAACAATATGGTCATGCAGCCATGTTGTGACATGCGTGCGTGTGATGGAATCACATGAGAAATCTGACATATGCATGCAGACTGCATATATGCCTGCAGCTGCATGTGCAAGACTCAAGCTGGCATCCCTGTACGTGCTGCATTCACCCGGCTGCTATATAGCCATGTCCTGCTTTGTGCTGAAGTACCAGCATATCGGTACAAACCGCAAGAGCGAATGGTTGATAGTCACAAGGAGCGCAGCAGATGATCCACGAGATGGGCGATTGACTGGCAACGTCTGTTTCATACGAAGAACAAAGTGACTTGTCTTGTTGTGATGGTCAATGTGGTCTAGCTCCTGTCCTTTGTTTTGCAAAACTTTGTGCCTTCTTTGTTTTTGCATGTTTTTGCTTCTCAGGTCATTGAGATTAGCCTTCAGTGACGACGCTGGCCAGATGAGAGATGATCCGCAGGATGGCAGTGTTGAACTTCGAGATTTCCGTTGTACGGGGATGGTTGGCTCTGGCCCCAAGCTACATCTGAAATTTGTTCAACACCCAGAAGTGACTGATTGCAGATACCTTGTTTGTCCTGACGGCTCAAGGGCCATGATCTTCCTCGGGATCTACCACAAGGATGGCGAGCTTGAATTCATGCCGGGGCTGAAGCAGATGTTACTGGCTAAAGAATTTTCTTTTTTATTTTCCTAAGGGAAAACCCCTTACTTGTGGAATCTATAGGAAATATCTTTTACTTTTTTTGGGTTCCTTAAGCAAATCGATCCAAGGCTCACTTATGGTCAGCGTTCTGACGTGGACAAGTATTTCCGGCTTGAGGCGAAAAGGTTCCTGGACATAAGCTTAACTCCAGCACCTGCCGAAGAGGAAGAAGACGAAGAGCTCGACGATTATACAGCATTAAAGGAATGGAATTGGGTTGGTGCACCGTTGATGCCAATGTAAATCAATGGTACCGTTCTTCCAGACAGATTGCATTCTAGCAGATGAAATTGAAATTGGATGTTCCAAATTTCCAAGTTGTTTATCCACAGAAAACGGTGTACGATCAAGTCAATAAACCCGGTTAATTCAAGTTTCTGCGAAGGGCATCATTGTTTGGACACTCCATGTGCCACTGATGAATCTGGACGGGTAAAATTTTAGCCACTGAACAATGTGGGCACATGGAAATCAATGAGCCCAGGCCTGTTGCATGCCATGGTTCGAAACGTTTCAGATGTGATTGGTTTAAATCCTTCTTGCCAGTGCATTCTCTAGTTGTCAGATTTTTCCCTTGATGACATTTCTATTGGATGATCGATCCATGGCAGTAGGAAATCAGATGAACCATTCTTTCGTGGTTCATACGTTTTCATGAGGATGGTATCAACCATCACGGAATTTATGAGCTCATTGGAACAGCAGCATCGTTTGCAGCACTGTTCCATATGCTCGCTCCATATGTGCCACATGATGAAAGAATATATGTTTGCGATCGTTTTCAACCAGTGATTTCCGTTTGACAGTCAACTGATGAATCTTTAATGTGAGCACAAATGGAAATCAATGAGCCCAGGCCTGTTGCATGCCATGGTTCGAAACGTTTCAGATGTGATTGGTTTAAATCCTTCTTGTTGTCAGATTTTTCCCTTGATGACATTTCTATTGGATGATCCATGGCAGCAGGAATTCAGATGAACCATTCTTTCGTGGTTCATGCGTTTTCATGAGGATGGTATCAACCATCACGGAATTTATGAGCTCATTGGAACAGCAGCATCGTTTGCAGCACTGTTCCATATGCTCGCTCCATATGTGCCACATGATGAAAGAATATGTTTGCGATCGTTTTCAACCAGTGATTTCCGTTTGACAGTCAACTGATGAATCTTTAATGTGAGCACAAATGGAAATCAATGAGCCCAGGCCTGTTGCATGCCATGGTTCGAAACGTTTCAGATGTGATTGGTTTAAATCCTTCTTGCCAGTGCATTCTCAAGTTGTCAGATTTTTCCCTTGATGACATTTCTATTGGATGATCCATGGCAGCAGGAATTCAGATGAACCATTCTTTCGTGGTTCATGCGTTTTCATGAGGATGGTATCAACCATCACGGAATTTATGAGCTCATTGGAACAGCAGCAATCCGGCTGCACTCTTCCATATGCTCGCTCCATGTGCCACATGATAAAGAAAATGTTTGCGATCGTTTTCAACCAGTGATTTCCGTTTGACAGTCAACTGATGAATCTGAAAACAAATTGGCCACTGAACAATGTGAGCACATGTATAGAAATCCAGGAGCCTGGGCCTGCAGATGACTGATTTCTTCTTGCCAGTGCATTCTCAAGTTGTCAGATTTTTCCATTGATGACATTTTTTTAAAAAATATTGGATGATCCATGGCAGCAGGAAATCAGATGAACCATTCTTTCTTGGCTCATGCGTTTTCATGAGGATGGTATCAACCATCACGGAATGCAGTTTAAACGGAACAGCTGCGTGTACAGTTTTTGTTTTTGCTGTTATGGACACTATGTGCCACATGATGAAAAAATATGTTTGCGATCGTTTCAGCCAGTGTGCTTGCAACGATTTGACACAACTTATTCAATGACTTGAGCAGTGAGCAGACCAACAATTGTGAGCAGTGTCAAAAATGTTTTTTGGTTTCGCTGAATATCTAAAACAAAAATGGGGTATGGCTACAGCTACAACACATTTTTGGCATTGCTCAAACTTTGTTTTGCCTGTGTCCAACATGTTTGCTGTGATGTTGTGGTTTATATATATATATCCCTGTTTATAAATAATATATATATATATGTTTATAAATATTATATATATATATCCCTGTTTATATTGCAAAGAGACGGCACTGAAATGATGTCAAGAGATTGTTGCTGTGAAGCACAGAAGTCTTCTGGTGCTTTGCGGGCAGACCTGGTGCATCAGTTTCAGGCTCAACAAAGACTTCCTTGAACCTGGACAGTTCATCAAGCATGGGCCATATCAAAAAGTCTTCAGCAAGACTTCACAAGTTGGCTCGTCCAAAGACAACAGACGACAGCTATACAAGCTCTGCAGAGCATGTCACTGAGGGATTGCATGCTGCATGCACATCTGCTGAGCATTTGTGAACCCACCCACCCATGCATGCAAGTTATATATATATGTATATAATTAAGCTTATCCATGGGGGTACCCCCTGGGGGCACTGCACTATAGTGCTATTATGTATATATATATATATACAATGGGGCATCGGGAGTACCCCCTTGGGGCACTGCATGTGCCATATGTACATACACCCTATGGGGCTATACCCCCTTGGGGCACTGTGCCATATGTACATATACACCCTAGGGGCATGGGGGGTACCCCCTTGGGGCACTGTGCCATATGTACATACACCCTGGGGCACCAAAAAACGACTGGGATGTATTTATTACATTCCAAGGCTACATTTGGCATCTCCAGGTGAAACGATTTGCCATGCACACGACCACTGTCCAGTGGCTTCAACCTGTTACACAGCTTGCAGACCATCTCTTGGACAGTCGGCTGTGTCGGCATTGCAGGAGATGCACCCATGGCACTATAACTGGAGCACAGAGCGGACGGAGGCACGTCTTCACTAACTTTTTAGGAGCCAAAATTTCTGTGAAGCAGCTCCACTGTATACTGCTCGTGACTGCACAACTCCTATACAATGTTTCTCCTCCAGATTTCTGGTCTGTGAGCATAAAGTGAATAGGGTTGATTCTTCCTGTTTTGCGACATTCAGACTGAAACCATGTCGAACATGCATGTCCCAAATGGTATATTATTATTGAGTCCAAAACATGGCCGAAACAAGAAATCCTGTGCGTTATCACATGTTGCAAAACTCAACAAAAACCTATAACTTTCAAAAACCCCGCAGACATTGGAGAACAGAAGAGAATCATCTTCGCTACAGGTCCGCAGACAAGCCGCAGACATCCAACCCCATGATGTGGGAGGTTTCTCTCCTCGCAGACACCGCAGACACCTTGAAACCCAACGCAGACCTTCCTTTTTGCCTTGTCCGCAGACATCTCCCGCAGACATCCACAAGTAGCTATGCCGTCCGCAGACATCCGCAGACATTGGCAGACATCCGCAGACAGGTGCATTCCATCGAATTGGATCAGCCACCTATCAATTACGTTCCCGGCAGCAGGCTCCGTCGCGCTTCCCGTAGAAGCCACGATGCAGTGCGACACCATGCGACCTCCCGGCGGCGATTTTCTCTCGTAGAGAAATGCCATGCCAAGATGTTCAGCCATTTACTGGCCAGCAACAAGTCCGGACAAAGATACCTTTTGTTCCACACCGTGCTTTCGGGCCATTCCGTTGCCTCCTCGTAGGAAGCCGGAATCAAACATAAACCTGGAATCTTAGGATGCGGAGGAACATCCAAAGGTGTGGCACCCCATTGGCCATATTGCAACAAGATGCTCAAACTACGCTTAAGCATTCTACGTTGCAAAGGCCTTTGCTGTGCACATGCCCAGTCTGCCGTGCAGTCTAAGCAGTGACTCACTTTACACCACGTAGATGTAAAGGCCTCCAACGGCTGTTCTGGAATCACTTGCACCATATAACTTCAAATACCTCCTCGAGGCCTTGAGGGGATATCGAGAAAGACACATTTAACACCATGCCGGTAAAGGTATCCAGTATCCCGCGTGGGAACACCGAAGCCTTGTAACGCGACGTGCGCGTTAGACGTCACCAGGCTCGTGGCCGGTGCGCGTCCAAGAATTCCCGCATGCCATGCGCGCCGAACAAAAAGCAGATCTAACCTGTGAGAACCTGAAGACATTGCTTTCTCCAACCGTTTGAATGCTATACGATACATGTCTCTTTCTCTCTCTCTCTCTCTTTTTCTCTTTGTTGTCATGTTAAAAAAAATATATATGTGTCGATGATTTGGGAAATTTGTGTCCTTTCGTATATATAAACATATTCAAGTAGAATATGAACTATTGCAACTGAATCTTGAGATAGAAACTTTGCAACGGAGATGTTTCCAGGACGTGCGGGTGACATGTGCAGAGTGATGTGAAGCAGCTTGATCCTTAATGTTTTGTTTCTGATGCGATTAGAGATCCTGACCAGTCAAATCCATCGCCCTTGTAAGCGGCAGCTGCTTATGTTTTTTTTCCTCAGGCTCTCATGTGGTCAGCATATCTTCAACGTCCCATCAGCGCAGCTCGCGGCACACGAATCCACACCTCATCTGCAGCCCTGCGGCGCTTGGCCGCCCCTGCGCCTCTGTCCTCCTCATCGTCACTTGACGGAGGTCGTCGCGGCCCCTTAGGCCCTGCTCGGACATCAGGCGATGGGCTGTGATGGCGACGTCTCTTCATTTCTTTGCGCCGCCCTTTCTCCTCTTTCCGCTCGCTTGGAGCGGCCTCAGCCTCTGGCTCCTCATGTCGCTTCGCCTCCTCCGCCCGACGATGAGACTTGGATCGCGCCGCCACGATGTTCTCTGGGCCAAATTCCTCCTCAGCGTCACGTCGCCGTGCTTCTTTCAAGTCTCTGGCGCGATCCAAGGCTTCCTCCCACGAGGCGCACTTCTCACCGTGCTGGCCATACAGTTGCCATGCTAGGCATAGTTCATTCCACCACATGTGTTGGCTGAGGCCAGAGATGCCTCCTGCGTTTCCCACTTTGTGCCAGCAATGCGGGAAAACTTGCTTTCTCGTTTTGCCCTTCCCCTTCGACCGCGGAGGTGGAGGGGGCGGCATCTCCGGCATCGGGGGAAACGGTTCTGCAGGCCGCATACGCCGTTCTTCCCTGTGAGACCTGGATCCCTCTGCACGCCGGCGCCGGTCACGGGAGTGAGACCTGCCACGCCTCTCCTTGTCGCGGCCCCGTGGGCTACGATCTGAGCGGCGGGCTCGTGGCCCGCGGTCGCTACTAGAGCCCGGACTGACCGGCCGCGAAGTCCTTGGCTCCAGCTTCGGGGCAGGTGCCGGTACAGACTTCGCCTTTGGGGCTCCAGCACTACCTTCAGGAGCCGAGCCAGTTCTCTCCCTTGGAGGCAGCGTCGTCTCCTCTCGTGCCGGGGTTCTGTCCCTTGCCGAAGGAGTCGTCTCAGGCGGGTCGGCTTCCTCCGCCTCTTCATCTTCATCCTCCACATAGGAGTAGTCCGACTCCTCCGGCCGATCTCTCTTAGGCGCCATCGTCACCTGCAGGCAAGGATAGCAAACTACACAAGACCAATCGAGAAAACCCATTTGAAACTGAAAAACAATTCTGCACAAACACCCCACAAGTCTATGACGCCTCAGCTGTCACCCGAGGCCACCTATTTGCCACTATGACTTGAGCCTAGTAGACCTGCAAGACAACCCCTTTGACAGTCTGTTCACACAACCAAACACGTTTGAAACGGTCCATTTTATGTTAACACCATGTTTCTTAAAACCCATAATCTTTCGACATGTCCATTGCGACTGAAATTTTTGCACCCGACTGTCTTGCAGCAACCTTTTCTAAACCATGCGTTTCGTCCAATGTCTGAGTGCGAGCAATTCGGCAAGATGCGCACCTACAAGAAACCAAAATTGTATGCACACCTCCTATATAGTTGCTACACATCAAAGCCACGTTGACACCAGCAGGACGGAGTGCATCCCGCTGTGAAGCGACACTTGGGGCAGTGTCTGCGCGTGGATTCCAACATCTTCTTCAGCTTCAGCCGCATTGCGTGCAAGTCCCCCAGAGTCAAAGCACAAAGGCGTCTGATTTCTGCCAGCACCTCATTGAGGATCTCGACTTTGTAGCATTCCTGTGTGTTCGTGAAGTTGCCAACTTGTGTCGAAGGTTGCTGTGCGTAACTGCTTCCACCACTTTGGCTTTCCCCAGCTCAGCACAGAAGACTGCCATCACCAGGGTGTCGCAGAACCAGTGGTCCAGAATCAGCTGGCTACTGATAAAGCTCAAAAGTAGCTTTGTCCCCGACATTGTGAGCTAGTGTCAGCGAGGCCATTCGCAGTCCTCTCCCATATGATTCTGCTGCAAGACACTTTGAAATACGCTAGTTGAAAGAAGTGTTCAAATGGCCCGAAGCAGTTTTTCCTCTGTCAAAACAAAGTGGTACGGCTAAGCAGACACTGAGCTCCTCGACATGTCCGCACAGCACTTCAATGCAATTTGAAAAGTGAAAACTTGCTTAGATCTATAGCTGCACGAAGCAGCAACCGAACAATCGGCCTAAGAAACTGGAACTTCGAGCCACTGCTGGGTCCCTTGATTAGTTCATATATATATATATATCACCCCCTTAGAAGAAGATCGTACATTGGAACATTGGTCCCAGTTTTACCTTGTTGTTCTTGCACCATGGGTCCTACAAAGAGATACAACGTGGCTTAGAGTAACGTAGTCCGCACACCCAGTGCAGGGTAGCTCAAGGGTGAACCGAAAGATACGCCCAGTAGGCACCCAAAACATCCGAACGCAGTGAAAAGAACATCTCCAACTTTGCACACCTTGAGGGTGAGATGTTTGCACTGCAGGCCGCCTGCCCGGAGCGGCTAGACAGCAAGCGGCTGCTCTTTTTGGATGTTGATGGCGTCTTACATCCGCTGAAGGTGGGGTCGAAATGGGTCGAAATGGGTCGAAATGGGTCGAAATGGATCGAAATGGACTTGGAATCAATGTATGGGCTTTCCAATCTCCAAAGTTCCATTGGGATGATTGGTATCGCTTGCACATATTTGAATGACAGCGATGACAACCTGTGGGAAAGGGGGTACTAAAACGCCATCTGAAACCGTTGAAATTCCAAATTGGGACGGATTCGGGTACAAATCGCCTGCCAAGAGTGTTCTAACATGTATATATTATACAATGATTCTAGCATTTCTACTATATGTATAATATCAAATGCCTTCAAGTCCTATTTGGCATGGTTGGGCCATGGTGGCCACCATTGTTTCTGTCCAGCGTCCTATGCTGCAGATGCCATGAGGTTCGATTGATGGGGCAGCAGCAGCTTGACACGAGCCATTGCTTTAATCCCGGGTGTATGGACGAACTACGCAGAGTCATCCTGCAAAGTGGGGCAGATCTTGTGGTCACTTCATCATGGCGACAGCGGCTCGCACCAGTTGAAGATGTGGAAACATCAATTGATTTTTCAACATTGATGGTAACATTGATTTTGAATGATCACATTGACATTTGATCATTGTTCATCATCGTTTATCTATATCTCTCTGCAGTGTATTCTCAAGTTGGTTGTATTTCTATTCTGTCACATGTTCTAGAGCTATCAACAGACGGGGTCTTGAAGAGATTGGCTTTCTGGCACGCCGGTCACATGTAAGGTTTGAAACTGCTCGCAACGTGCTGGCGAAAAACTTGGGACATTATGGTCTTCGCGTGAAGGACTGGACAACTACTGCAGGTGGTGAATCCAATGAAGCACGAGTTGATCAGATCCTGTCATATGTCACGGCATTGGACTTGGAAGCCTGGGCAGTTGTGGATGATGAAGCTCCTTGACCGATCAGTTGATCTTCACTGATGACTGCGACTTCTGTGGACTTCCAAGGGAACCATGTAGCAATTTAAAAGCAGTGTGGAAGGTTGAGATTTACTTGCAGTTGCTTGCATTCTTGGCTCACCGTGGCACATTGCATTTAGGCCATTTTGGCCTGACACCAGAAGCAACCAATGACGAGGCTATGACAGGCATATCACAAGGATATGACAAGGATATGAGGGTTTCACAGTTTCACATGGTTTTACCTGCGGGTGTCCCAAGGACCTGGCGCCTGAAGCTCTGCAATCCTCAGAAGGCATGATGAAGATGCTCTTCCGACAGCACTTTGTTCGGACAGATTCTTCCAAGGGCTTGGACAAATCTTCTGCAGATTCCCTTATCCAGTTGTTGAATGACGAGGAAAATGTTTGAATATGTTTGAATACAGGGATATATCGTTCAGTGTCAAAGATCAATCGAAGATCAATTGGTCATATTTTTATGGCATGATGATCCAAAACCTTCTAGACGTGGATTTGGATGATTTGGCAGCGATTCCCATGGGTCTACCTGGGAGTAACTGGAAGTACCTGGAATACCTGGAAGCATTGTGGCATCGTGTGCCGAAGCCCACCACTTGGCAACTTGCGCATGATTTGTCGACCCAAACAGAACGAAATCCGCGGTGTTTGATCTTGAGATATCTTGAGTACCACTGATGTACCAAGATCAGCGGTTGAAGTGACTCGGAAACTGCACACTTTCTGGCCGGCAATATATGAGCATATGAGCATATGAGTCAATCCCGCCTGGGAGTTAAACGCAGATGTGGAGTACACCTGCACCATTTCGGAGAGCAGAACTTCCGAGAAGTTCTGAAAGATTGTTAGAGTTGCTAGAGCCGAGCAGAAGAGAAACAAGTGCTCAACTTGAAAGAAACAGCTTTCTCAATACCAAGCTACAGTGACAATTAAGACAATTAAGCAACATGGACTTCCTTTGTCTTGTAAAAGGAATCAAATTGACAAAGAAAGCTTCTCTTTGCACATCCAATGTCATCACTTTCAGATACTTTCAGCTCTGAACGGTGATACTCGGTGAGACTGTTTCAATTATTTCAGTGTTTTGTGATATTTTCTGCGCTGCTCAGGTGGTGGAGACAGTGGTGGTGGTGAGGCAAAGCGTCATGGAGTCACATGGAGTCCTGGTTTGCCGATTGTTTCTGATTGTTCTGATTGTTCCATAATGTCCCATTTGTATCATGTGTCTTGTGATTCGCATGGCATGTTTTGGATATTTCACTGCCCCCGGTAGGTGTTGCCTGTGGACAAGCAGGCCTTGCGATTTGCCATGACTTGCCCATGTCAGTTTCTCTTTGACCGTCGACCCGGGGACCCGGATTTGGCAGGCACGCAACAAGCTCCTGCAGACCAGCGATGAAATCAGCCGTCGAATGGAGGAGAGAGTCTTCACAGCCTGAACAATGTGATTATTTGATGGATCTTGATGGTTTTATCATGTTTTATCCAGAATTTGCTCAAACTCTCACTCTCACAGCAGAGGCAGAATCGGATGATAATCCTTTTCAATATCTGAACCCTTTACATCTCTCACTCGAGAGATCGGGTCAGAGTTCCGAACTTGCCAGGAGCTCCTGTCACGCAGGGGAAGAACACTGCAGGCTTGGTTTGCACATGTTTGCACATGTTTGCACAGTTTGTTCATTCTGCATTTGATTTGACGTTTGTGCAATTGTACATAGTTGTACAGAAATGCTTGACGAAGACTTGAGCCCGGCAGATCTGAAAGGTTTCTGCAAGCGATCAAAGATGCGGTACATTCTTAGCTTTCAGAATCATGATTGGAACAGAGAACAATCAAAGATGCGGTACATTCTTAGCTTTCAGAATCATGATTGGAACAGAGAACAACAATGAACAATATAAATATAGTAAACAACACTAAACAACTGCCAAGAAGATCCAAACACCTTTGAGCATCTTGGAATTGATTTGTGACAGCGGCGAGGCTTTGTTGGAGTCCAAAGGCGGCGGATGGGATGGGAGAAAATGGTAAGCCGCTAAGCCCTATGGCCCTAAAAAAAAACGCTTGCAATTGGGCACCAAAAATATGTCAGCAGGAAACACAAAAACAAGACCAAGATGGTCATGACAGGTGACGGCTGAGGGAGTTTGGTATGGGACCATGGGATCCGTTTCTTTTCGATTGACTCAAGAAGACCATGGCGGGACCATAGGATGACCATATTGACCCTGATCCGTTTCCTCGCAGCATTTTTTAAGCTGCTCTGATGGCGGCCCTGCCAACGCGAGCTCCAACCGTGGCGACCTCGGGAACCAGACAGAAACATACCCGGAGTCCATCGGAGATCATCGGATATCATGCGACAATATGCAACATACAGTGGGCATACATCAACGTGTTGCACTTTTGCATCCCAAATGTCTGGAGTTTCGAGAAAGGCAGAGTAGACAGGGTGTTGATCTCATGCCAAGATTTCTCGTAGAGCAAGGGCGCCCTTTTTGACACGTTTATTGCGCCTCTGGAGGCATTAGAAAGACTATTGTCCGACAATTCTAGCCCCAAAGGTCCACATATTTTCGCCTTTTCCTCCGCTTCACCACGGCAGTGGATATATGATATATGTGGCATATATGTGAATGCTGTTCATGGATGTTCATGGATGTTCATGGAAAATATGATTCCTCCATGCCGTTCCTTCACACATCTCACTGATGCAGTTCTCAGGCCATTGATTCCATTGATTCGACTGCAAGTCATTCGTGCCACTTGAAACAACCCCGTTTCTGTGGTCATGTCATTGTCCGGGCTTCAGCGGTGCACATTGGACAGCGCCAGATGAAACCACTGTTGCAAATTTCAGCCACTTTCACTTTACTCACTTTACTCTTCATGCATTTCACAGTTCCTGGCATTTCCTTCCTTCGTTTTTCTTGGGGCTTCCAGCTATTTCCAGCTGAACTGGTTGAACCTTCGTTCAGCTTTTGAGTTCTGCCACGACTCCACGACTGAGGTTGGTTTGACCACAGCGGTAACCGCTGCGATGCAGATGAGCCGCCATAGCATAGCAAGGCCAAGCTGGACATCCCAGTGAAAACACCGAAGAACAGGTGATAATGATTCAATGATTCAATGATTCAATGATTCAATGATTCAACGATTCAACGATTCAACGATTCAACGATTCAACGATTCAACGATTCAACGATTTAACGATTCAACGATTCAACGATTCAACGATTCAACGATTCAACGATTCAACGATTCAACGATTCAACGATTCAACGATTCAACGATTCAACGATTCAACGATTCAATGATTCAACGATTCAACGATTCAACGATTCAACGATTCAACGATTCAACGATTCAACGATTCAATGATTCAATGATTCAATGATTCAACGATTCAACCATTCAACGATTCAACGATTCAACGATTCAACGATTCAAGGATTCAAGGATTCAAGGATTCAACGGTTCAACGATTCAACGATTCAACGATTCAACGATTCAACGATTCAACGATTCAACGATTCAACGATTCAACGATTCAATGATTCAAGGATTCAAGGATTCAAGATTTCAACGATTCAACGATTCAACGATTCAACGATTCAATGATTCAATGATTCAATGATTCAATGATTCAACGATTCAACGATTCAATGATTCAACGATTCAACGATTCAACGATTCAACGATTCAACGATTCAACGATTCAACGATTCAACGATTCAACGATTCAACGATTCAATGATTCAAGGATTCAAGGATTCAAGATTTCAACGATTCAACGATTCAACGATTCAACGATTCAATGATTCAATGATTCAATGATTCAATGATTCAACGATTCAACGATTCAATGATTCAACGATTCAACGATTCAACGATTCAATGATTCAAGGATTCAACGATTCAACGATTCAACGATTCAACGGTTCAACGATTCAACGATTCAACGATTCAACGATCCAACGATTCAACGATTCAATGATTCAATGATTCAACGATTCAACGATTCAACGATTCAACGATTCAACGATTCAACGATTCAACGATTCAACGATTCAACGGTTCAACGGTTCAACGATTCAACGATTCAATGATTCAACGATTCAACGATTCAACGATTCAACGATTCAACGATTCAACGATTCAACGATTCAACGGTTCAACGATTCAACGATTCAACGATTCAACGATTCAACGGTTCAACGATTCAACGATTCAACGATTCAATGATTCAACGATTCAATGATTCAGCGATTCAACGATTCAACGATTCAACGGTTCAACGATTCAACGATTCAACGATTCAATGATTCAAGGATTCGACGTTTCGATGATTCGATGATTCGATGATTCGATGATTCGACGATGATGATGATGATGATGATGATGTGTTGTTATTGTGTTCCCGCGGAAGAGTTTGTGTCTCCGAATTTGTGTTTGGTCAGTGGCAGGTCTGCTCAGCGACGCTCAATCACTGCTCGCACTCGCCGTCGCTCAAAAAAAACCAAGGCGCGACTTTTTTTGTTGATTTTCCATGAGTGCGATGCCAAAAAAGGACTGGAAATATTTCGGAAGGGCTTAGAGGCCTCTGATGTTTTATGGGTCAGCAAAGTCTGAAGGAGATGCGTTGGCTGGGAGTCTAGAGCAATTCTTGGCCTTGTGCAGGGACGAAATGACAAGAGCACCATCTGCAAGGCGCAAAAGTCCATTGAGTAGCATGGAGTAGCATGGAGTATACCTACCGAGTAATCTGAATAGCTGCCACTGAGCTGTAGCTGCCACTGAGCTGTAGCTGTACAGCATTTGCAGAATTTGCACAGCAGCTCTACTCGTGTCAGAGATTAGGGTTGGTGACAGTCTGGCCTCACCTTGCGTCAGGTGACAGAGCCGTCTCCAGCTATCGACGCTAGTCCAGGCCGTCAAACGATGCCTCAATGGGTTGCAACACCAGTGACAACGTGGCCACCATGGTTTGGTGAGTGCCAAAAAATTATTGCTCTCCAGGTAATTCGTGCCCACGAAAAATACTTGAAACTGTGGCTGTAATGGAGACTTGGTTGGAAAGCTCTGGGAAGTGGGAAGTGGACTTCAGCGATGAAAGACTTACAAACTTCAGAAAGGATTTCCATGGGATTTCCATGGATTTCCGAATGCTGAGGTTCCTCAATTTCACGGTGCTGCAATATTTATTTTTTCGCATGGTTTCCGAAAGGTTTCCTGCTATTTTTGCTCGGGCTTTGAGTCGGACTTGACCCAACATCAAACTCCAAAGACAGCCTGCAACGACATCATTCTCGAAGTTGACAATACCCCCACCAGAATTGCGCATTTGGTCGAAGATACTCTCGCAAACATCAATGGTTTGGATTACAGTTCAAGTGCTGGAAGGAAACAACATGTGACAAGGATGCGTTTCTGTGTCGTAAGGAATCTCCATTGGAGTGCCTGGATGCTTTTCGAACTTGCCTCAGCCAGATGAGTGTGAAGAAGTGCCTGCACCTTGGAGCAATCATGAGCAATCCATTCAAGCCCAGGCCAGGGCCCGACAGGGCCCTCTAGCTTCTGTCAAAAAGATTCGTCATGAATCGGATTTATTATGATTTATTGATATTTGTTGTCTTTACATTGTCTTTACAGCAGTGACACCTTTGTTTTATTCGCCCAGCCTTCCAAGCAGAGAGTTGGAGGGAACAAACTTGGCTTTGAGGGACCTGGAGCAGCCAGAAAATCCCATCTTGCGGTTGGCGCTTCTTGAACAGATGGGCATCAAGGGTGGCTACAAGGTTCGGGGCGACAGCACCATACAGCACCATACAGCACCATACAGCAGCAGTTGGCATGTCAAATGTCAGCGTTCAAATTTGTATCCGAGCTGATTGAACCATGAATATACATGAATATCATAAGATATCATAAGACTCCCAGATCCTTTTCTGACACTTTCTGACATACACAGCAAATCTCAGCTGAGATGCTGGAAAATTATGATTCATTTTAGATCATTTTGGATGCTTTATATATCTTATCACATCTTTATATAATTTGCATCAATCTGCAGGGAGTTTCGAGATGTTTCGAGCGCTCATTCTGAAAGGCCTGGCTATCTCTGCCCAAACGACATGGTGTTCTCAAGACCTTGGGCGAGGCTGCAGAGGCAGCCTAGAGAGTCCGAGAAAAAACTATGGAATCCATGGAACCCTCTGGAACCATCTGGAACCTACTAGAACATACGTGAACCCATGATCTATGTATGATCTATGATGGATCTATGATGGATCTATCGCGGACCCAAGTTCCTTGAATCAAGAAAGAAATGTTGACTACATGGACTACATGGACTACATGGATCAGTGCAGACACATGCTGTAGACACTGTAGACTTGCTGCAGAATATGTACAGAATTTGATCACCTGCGTGGATTGTATATGATTCATATGATTGTATTGCATTGTGTGTACATTGTTGTGTTCCTTGTATCGTGCTGATGACACAACATCTGACAAGATCTAACAACATTAAATTACATCATCTCCATCAGACCAGAGCGGTGTTCTTGATATTTCTATATATTTCTAATATATTTCTTTACCACCATGTAGAATGCTTTGGAGGCCTCACTGTTGCCGAACGAGGACATCACTGCAATGGGCATCAGTGTCCTGGGCATTCTGGGCCAGGAGACGTTCTCTTCCGGGAATTGCTGAGAACGCTGATCAAAATAAGGTGACAAGGTGAAGACATATCAATTTTCCATCGTTGAATTGTCGCATTTAGTATGCTCCGCAATATTGATGGAATTGGTATGATGATTTCAACATGCAACAATCTATTTCTTCAAGTTGGCCCGCTGTCATTGTCCTTGTGGTCCTCCATTTGTGTCCTGCCTCGTTTCTCCTTGAACTAATTTGTGAAGGAACGAATTGAAATGCAGCACAGTGGTGCAGAGCTGTCTGCGAATCAAGTCTTCGCTTTGTATCGCTACTTCGCCGAGGTTCAGTTCTTTGATCAGACTTCAGTTTCCAAGTGAAGTAGTTTCAAGTTTGCTGTTGGGTTTTCCCAATAATGATGACATTGATTGACATCAATTGACATTAATGGACATGGAAATTCCATGAATTTCCCATAATTATCATTTCAAAATCTTTTTTTTTGTTTACCAAGCGTTCTTGCCCAACCGGGTGCATTTTGGGGCAGGTGCTGCCAACTTCGTTCCTTCATTTGGTGCTGGATCAGCTGAATCACCCGAGTCTCGATCCCCTCCAAGTCCAAGAGGACGGATGGATGTGAAAAGACAAAAGAAGTGGGAAGAGGACTGGAATTTTAAATATATTTTAACTTCAGATGGTACTAGTAGAATCTATAGAATCTAGTAGATACATGATGATACATGTAATTATATACTAGTGCAAAAGCTGGGAAAACTATGATTTGCAAGTTGTGTTGGTGCCCTCTCGGTCTCCGGTGTTTTGGTGTTTTGAGGACGACATTCTTTCTATCGCGCTTGCTGCAGAAGCTCAAGGTTTGGCAGATAACGAAAGACTTGCTCGACTTGCTCAGCTCTTGATGAAGCGTTGGTCGAAGTTGAGCAAAAGCAGCAAGAGGCTGGACACTGCGGCTGAAGACATCTGAAGACTTGCTCACTTTACAAGATTAGGCATTGGCAGATAGGAAGATATTAAAGAGATGTTGCAAAATGGTACGCAACTCGCCGCTGAAAGCATTCAGCTAGGTTGCTCCGAGAAAGATTCAGCGCCTTTTTCAGGAACACGCTGAAACATGCTGAAAGACGCTGTAACACATTTTCAACATTTTTCATCCTTTTTTTCTATGTAGTTGGAGGCTATGCAAGCATGCTCGAGGTGTCATAGACTTCTGCAAACGAGTTTTTTCAGCTTCAAAGGTCTCAATCCGTGCCCAAGAGCGACACATCCCACATCGTCATGGTTGGAAGTGTCAAGTAGGAGTCAATTAGCATAATTAGCATGTGGATTTTGTGTCATTTTTGTGGACATTTCTCCGATTTTCTCCACATGTTCATGCTGGTCCATTCTCCATGACTCTCCGTGGTCTTGGTTTCAGGGGCTTGTTGGAGTCCATGCTGTTGCTTCCGCAGCTGCTACAACTGGCACCAGGTGGAACGGCACGTCCGGTTAAATAGAAAGATTGGAAAGGCGTGGAAAGGCCTTACACAAATATTCTGAACAAAAGTGTACGGTCTTCCGAACAGTATTCTTTCATGTCTTAAAGCGTGTTGAAAGAAACTGTCTGCCAGGTCTGGAAGAAGCTTTGCTGGAACAGTGCCAATGCAACCAGTCCCTGCGGGCACTGCCATTCCGCTGTCCCTTGGCTTCACCCTACCGGTGATGGGATTCCAGCAGCATAGGCCAGCATAGCCAGCATAGCTCAATGAAACATAATGAGACTAAGAGAACTTAGACAGCAACGTGGCTCTGAAAGAGTTGTAGCGTAGCACTTGGCTCAATTTACCTAGTTTCTATCAGTCTTTCTATCAGTCTTTCTGTTGTTTCTATCAGTTGTTTCTCTATTTGTTCCATGCACCAAGCCCAGCAAGGCTTCACCTGGTTGCTGGACAGTTGGGGCACCCAGCCGGGATCGCGGCTCTTTCCGGTGCTGTTGCGCCCGGCATTGGAGTGGCATCTCACCGATCTGGACGTGCGGAGGCCTCACAGTTTCGATTTCAAAGGGACCAGAAATCACCAGCATATCATCAGCAACTCAGCAGGATCTTTTTTGTGAAATGAAGATGAAAAAGCTGAAACCTTGGGAATTTCTGCTGTATTTGTGGTTGACACATGTTGACCCCTGACTGCAACCAGCACAGTCAGTTGCTAAACAGTGGCGGTGCCACATTGCCGTCATGTTGCCAGGCTGGTGATTGTCTCGAAGATGTTTGATGCCTTTGTCCCTGAAGCAGCTGCAGAGGTGGTGCTCTTGTGGCACAGCTGGGCCGAAAATCTGTCGGCTGAATCCCAGGCACAGACTGGGCACAGCTTGGCCACAGATTGGGCCTAAGGGCCTAATGGAGGGCCACTCAGTGGTCGAGTTGATTCGAGTTGTCAGTGATTAACATGTCGACGGTACGTCATGGCCTTGAATCAGGGAAGATATTAGGCTATATTAGGTTATATTCCCAGTATTCATTCACGGTGTCATGGTGCTGCAGGTGAAGAGTTGGCGCTGGAGCATCTTCCAGGAAGCTCTGCGAGAAGTCTCTGGCTCACGGCATTTGACGAGACAGACGGGAACCTCCTTGGGCGATATGATCATAGAAGGCACCTGGGGACCACCTGGGAGCTGCAAGAGCTGCAAGTCACTGCCAGTGGCTGCTGCCAGTGGCTGCTGCCAGTGGCTGCCAGTGCAACAAGCTCAAGCTCTCCTGGTGACATGCCTTAGCCACACCCACTGTAGCCTTAGCTCATCTTAGCATTTTAGCTCCCTAAGCTGATAGGACTGATAGGATGGAGTTCCCACAGTTCCCTCGTCTCCCAGCTGCAGGTGTGCTGTTGGTGGAGTTGCTGCGTCATGCGAAGTCGCTGCCGCTGGATTTGCTGCTGGAACTGCTTCGGCGGATGCCAGCGGCACGTGAACAGCTTGCAGCAGGAGAACACCGGTGGAAACATAGTGACAAAAACATGGGCAAACATATACAGAATATAATGTAACATACATATCAATGTGTATATATATATATATTATACATATATATATATATGTATATATATATATATATAATTACAGTATGTATACACCTATTGTAACATATCAGCTATGTACAAACAAACGATTTCTGGACATAGTCATAGTCAGTGACATTGATTGAAAAAAACAGATGAAATTTCTGGAAGCGATTTGATGCTTTTTCGCTTTTCGTATCCTGTGACTGTGAGCTGTGGCAGCTGTGCCACAGATTTGCCTGGCATGGTATGGCACTTTCTGGATGGGCATGGCGGCGGCCTGTCGCTGCTGGCTGCGATGAAAATTGCACAGGGAGAGGTGCGCGAGGGTATTTGTTGAAACCATGATCGATCCCTCAGAAACCAAGAACCAAGAATCACCAAGAGACGTTCTTCAGATTTTGAATGATTTGCAAGGTCAAAATTGTGTTATGTGAATGCTTGAGGCCTTCATCAAATGTGAGCCCAACTCGGAACTGTGGAATGCTCTTGTGAAGCACATAGTACTTCAGCTGAATGGGCATTCAACCTTCAAATTCTTTTGTGCCTGGGCATGCATTGGAAAGACAGAAGAGACTGAAGGAGTGATTCTTGTCAAATGTTCGTTAAATGTTCCAGATTTATCCTTAAAACTTAAAACCATGGGTCATAGGGGCTTTAGTGATTATGCAGCTTTTGCACCCAACCAACAAGACTCTGTCTTGTCATCAGCACTCACTCGACATCGAATAAATTCGGATTCTTATTTGGTCTTACCCACATAGTCGGCATGATTCTTCTTGGCAACACATAGTCGGCATAGTCACGGCATAGTCACGGCATAGTCATTCGGAGTTGCCGGCAACTAGCAGCATTTTAAGCAGCGAGGTCGCTGCCGTCCTGCTCCTTTGCTGCGTGAAGCAGTGCAAAAGAAGTTGAAGGGCTGGCAGGCTTTGGAATTGAAGGTCATGCTCTCCTAACTTGACCTGAGGAAAACACATGAACATATGACTCATGAATACTCATGAATACTCATGACACGCTTTGGCAAACATCAAACCCGCTTTGTTAGAAGGACAGTAACAATTCAAAGACTTTGACTGCAAATGCTTTGCTTAAAATGCTTCCTGACACAATGTATGGCCAATATGGGAGAGCTGAGCAGATTCCAGGCATCATGAAAATCATATTCCGAGAAAGATCAATCAAGCCTTACGTGATACATATTACACACAGCTGCAACTTAGTTAACTTTGCTAAATGGCTGAAGAGGAAATGAGCAGAAAAATCAGGGCCTGAGCTGGGCGTTTTGTAAATGATGCGGTGAAGTCGTCCGCAGGGATTCCTCCGTGGGAGCTGCAAAGATGTGTTCAGCTCTGTCGGAGTAGAAACTCAGAATTCAAAGGTGCGTCTGGCGCATTTGCTTTGTGCATTTTATGCATTTTATGCATATTTTATGCATATTTTATGCATATTTTATGCATTTTATGCGTTTGCATCATTTTGAGTGATTTTGATTCAAGGGGACTCTGATGCAGGCATTTGCATCCCTTTTTTCCACCAGCTAGAGTCCACAAGAAATTGTCGTTGCTTGGACCGTTAAATCGGAGGCAATGACAGACTCCAAGGCTTGGTGTCAATATGTCTCAATTGGCTCACAGGATTTCCTGCAGATCTGAAGCAAATTCAATTTTATTCCGCTTGGAATAGCGCATTAACTCATGGTGTTTGATCTGTGAGATGAAGTCAAATGAAGTCAAATCCTTAGCGAAAAGCTAGTGATGTTGAATGTGTTTCAACTTCACCACTTTTAGCTTCAGCTTTTGCACTCACCGGCTGATTCTGAAGAACTCCATGTAGGTTCACTGATATGAAGAGATATGATTCAGCAATAGTCAGCTTTCGACAGGAGGAACTCTGAGCCCAGCCTGACTTTCGTCTGACCTTCGTCTGACTTTCGTCATTTTTTGTCCATAACTGGTACCTGGCTCATCAGCCGTGCGATGCTTCAAGAAGTGGAGACTCTGGAAACCACCACCCATCGACACCCAGGCCGACACATCATATCTACAACCGTTACATATCGTTACATATCGTTACATACGGTTACTGTAACTACACTGTAACCATCATGAAACGTCACCAGATCCTGCGTGGCGCAGACCGATTCTTGATCCATACATGATCCAACGAATCCAACAGTCTTCAGAGTCTTCACTTCTGAAGTTTTTCTGTTTTCCGGTTCCCAGTTTTGCTGACTATGGTGACATAGTCTTGGTAGTCGATCTGTAAATCGATTTTATTTAAACCTCTCCGGCGTCCAAAAAAAGCCATATCCAAAGACAAAGACATCCTTTGGATATCACAGCGGAAAGTGAACAGCCGCCCAGAGCCTTGCGTCGTGTCTACGCGAGGGACGCTGTTTCGAGGCGTTCGAGGGGCACTTGGAAACGACCCGCGATCCACTGGGCCCCGTGTGTTTCAGGGATCCTCCGCGCGAAGCTTCGTGGTGTACGAAGATTGGGTGTCGCGCGAAATCAAGGATGAGCTGATTAAGCTGCAAGGGAAGGGAGATGAAGAATCATGGAGAATTATGAACAATCAATAATCATGAATTATCATGACGAATATGAAATGACATATGAAAGGACATATGAAAGGACATATGAAAGGACATATGAAAGGACATATGAAAGGACATATGAAAGGACATATGAAAGGACATATGAAAGGACATATGAAAGGACATACGAAAGGACATATGAAAGGACATATGAAAGGACATATGAAAGGACATATGAAAAGACATATGACTCTCATATACTCTCGACCTCATGACATTATTATATGACAACATTCAGGACAGCTACGACAGGGTGCCCGGGATGGGATGGGGATAGGCCAGGACAGGTCATGGGGTCATGGGGTCATGGCCATGGGCTGCCGGCAGGTGCGACACAGGCGCTGTGACTTCTCAAAGCTTAGCCAATGACTAGCCGCTTAGTGCCTGTAGCCGGAGAAGTGCGACAGCAATGTGCAAAAGTCAGTTGCAAAGGTGCCAGATTTCAGTGGCATTCTTATGCATTCTTATGCATTCTTCATCATTTGGGTAGGTCTTGGGATGTTTTGGGTCTTTTCTGAGACAGGTTTGGAGTTGAGTTTGTGAGTTTCGGATGGTTTCAGATAGTTTCGGATAGTTTCGGGATTATCAGGGTTCGGTTTGGGCAGAGAATCGTTGCTTCTCCAGTTTCACCGGGCCGTGGCTTGACGCCTGGGGTCTCGCAAACGCTTCGAAGCGCAAAAAGTCCGCTGGGGAAATGCAGGTACCAGCTGTAGAGGAACATTTCAGGAACTGAGATGAACTCGAGATCAACTTCCACCTTTCCAATCCTTTCCACCTCATGAAACTGATTTTATCTGATTTTGTAGCCAAGCCTCATAGAATGTCATTGTCATCCCGAGTGACATGGTAAAGTCACAGGTTTGCACCAAGCTGAGCCACCCGTTTTGTTCTCAAGTCGCTTGAGGCGACTGGAAGCCTTAGGCCGGAAAGCCACCCGGTGCGCCGCTGTAATCTGCCCTCGCCCAGCATGAAGATCAACATCGCGAATCCCACCACTGGCATGCAGAAGATGATCGAGATTGATGACGACAAGAAGCTGCAACCGGCTTATACTTTCAACTGATACATACTAAGTGCCTACTGCATATTCATATTCATATACTCATTTATATATGAAAAAACATGTATATATAGATTATATGTATGACTCATGTTGATTGATATATAGTATTGATTTTGATTGATGTTGATTGGTGATGTTGTTGGCCATCGCAATACCAAGTGGGGGAAGTACCAATGTAGTGCTATCGTGGGGCAAAGTTCCACTGACGAAACACATCCTGAGATTCGCATATGATCAAACAGTTGAGCTGCTGTCTGTAGAATAAGATCTATATTGCTAAGATTTCTTAATTTGCACAGTTTGCCATAGTTTGCCTCTCTGTTTGCCTCTCTGTTCTTTCAAGATGGATTTCTTCTCCAAGCTTCGATAAGCAACGGCGGCTAGGTATCCGTTCTTCGATAAGCGAATGGCTGGAGAAGTGTCTGGCGATTCCCTTGGGGATGAGTTCAAAGGCTATGTCTTCCGCATTGGCGGTGGCAACGACAAGCAAGGCTTCCCCATGAAGCAAGGTCTCTTGACATCTCTTGACATCTCTTGACTGTCTTGACTTCCAGATCTGTAGCAATAAAAATTACATTTATGGCAGGCTTGATTCATTCAGATCTGAATTATGTTACATAATTATGTCACTGGTGGTGCTGAATGAAAGAGAAGATTTCTTATTCTCTCTTGCTCATTCGGACATTGAACCGTGGATTTGACATATAGATCCAAAACGGTTAGATGCGTGTTTTCAGTGTGTTTTAAATCAAAGGTGTTGCTGGTTGTGGTTGACTGGCGACTGGTGACTTTGATGTCTTGTAGTCACATTGTAGTCACATTGTAGTCGGTATTCCTTTGGCAGAGACCAGGGGGTTGGGCAGGTTGGGGGGTTATGGGGTTACTTATGATACTTGTGGTTGACACAGCGGTTGCTTCAGGCCGGAAGTGTTTCTTTCTGACTTTGCACCGGGCCCAAAGGCGTGATGTGCAACCATCGCGTTCGCTTGCTCTTCAAGAAGGGTCGTGAGCTTAGTGTCGTCCCATGTTGTCCCTGAATGTCCCTGATATGTGAGAGAAAATTGATTCTGACATATTCTGACATATTCTGACGATATTAAGGAAGACAGGTTGTTGAAGACAAAACTTCACACACGGACAGTTCATCAGGGACGCCGCGACGCCCCAACTCGGCCACTTCGCACAGGCATGTCCTGCTACCGGGAGCGCAGAAAGGGTTGCCACAAGCGCAAGTCTGTCCGAGGCGCTGCGATTGCACTTGGAGCAACAACTTCTTGCAGAATCTTCCGTGATGTTTGCGAAAAAAAACAATGATAGAAACAATCGAAAACAAAACTATAAGTGTACACATCTGTAAACTAGCTAAACACTACAAACAATTCTATGCATAATCTGATGTGTTTTATTCATTGAATTCATGTATAATGTTTCGCTGTGTATCATAGTACATGATGTACGTTATGTACATTGAATATTTCAGGATGCATTTGGCAAATTTGGTATGCTTCGTGTATTCCTCCCATGGATTCAGCCAAGCGTGTCTTTGTCTTGTCCAAGTGCATGTGCCGAGTCGTGCCGAGTCGTGCCGGCCAAGGATGCATTGTCGGACCTGACCTGGCTGTGATGAGTTTGGTCTTGGTGAAGAAGGGCGCCGAAGAGATTCCAGGCTTTGGCCCTGGTGATTGGAACATATTGGAAGTCGTAGTCGTCGTAGTTCGCACATGGAGGGGTTCCAGATGCTTTCGCACGAGCAGATGTCTTCGACCTCAAGAATTCATTGTTGGATTTTGATTGGATCTTGATGGATTTTGTTTGCATTTCTTGGACCATCTTGGACCTTGCGTGGATCGTTTTGCATCGTGAGGACTGACGGATGACAACAAGCCTCGTCGCCTGGGACCAAAGCGTGCCAGCCACATTCGCAAGCTCTTTGGTTTGGAGAAGAAGGCAACTGCAGACATCCCAGAAACCGGAGACCGGAGTACAACAGTCATCGTGAGTCATTCTTGGATTTTATCAATCTCAAGTCTGGATATTCTCGTTGATTCTCAGAGCATTCTCTCAAGAAAACGAGTTAAATGAGTCAAGTCTGTTCAAACCACTTGTTTTTGATGCTTTCAGATGCTTTCAGCCTTTTCAAAGCATTTCAAACAGAAGCGGATACGATGACACCGATGACACTGATGACACATGACGACACGACACCAGTGAGACGGCGAGCTGGTGATCTTGGTGACAGGACGACGTGCGCCAGTTCGTGGTGCGCCGTGAAGTGAAGGAGGGCAAGAAGAGCAAAGCTCCCAAGATCCAGCGCCTCATCACTCCTCAGCTCCTGCAGAGAAAGCGATTCTTCAAGGCAACGAATCATGAATCGGCAACGAATTCAAAATGATGAAATATATGAAATATATGAAATATATGAAATTCAATTCTTTGAATCAAATTGAGATATAAGCATTTAAATAACGCATTCAAAGCATTGGGAATGGCGTTTTGCAGCCCCAGTCCAGCAGAAGCAGCAAAAACTTGCAGCAGTATGCAGCATTTAACGCAGATTTGGAACCTTTTGAACCCCGTGACACACACACACACAGTATCACATATCATCGCATATCATCGCACATCCAGGACATCCAGGAAATACTTCGCAACAAGATGAAACAAGTTTAGAGCAACAAGAGTTGATTCATTGGATTTCTTTGACAATTTTGACATTTCACTCTTTGGATATATTTAATCATTAAACAATATATTGATGACATATATTATATATATATTATATATATACATACATATACATATACCGTATACATATTAAATTTGATTATATGTTTCAAAGATTTGATCATTTTGATCCGACAGGCCGTGGTGCGCAAGCGCATGGAGGCCGGGAAGGAGGCCAAGGCGGCCTACGGCAAGCGCTTGGCCGAGTACCGCCACGAGCTGAAGGAGCGCCACGCCGCGGAAGTGGCCAAGAAAAAGGCCAAGAAAAATTGAGAAAATTGTGGCGAAACGACTTTCGAAACAACTTTGCAGCAAAGCTTGAGCTAAGATTAAGAAGGAAGCTGAGTTTGCAAACTTGAACACAATTGAAAGAGCTTAGCAAGCTACAGAAGCAAGGAAAGGCGCTTCAAACGAAGCAGCGACGGGTGGAAAAAAGTTTCGGAGTGGGTTTATGTTTCTTCGATTACAAGTCCTTTGGATATCAGAGGCATGTTCTCGTAGCTCATATTCGTAACATTGCTGTGCAGAGGGCCACAATTCCAGACCAACGATAGAATCAAGCATACGGAATAACTCCATCGTTACTCTTTGAGCTCCAGATCATGATTCCTTGGCACACCAAAACTTCTTAGTGACCGGGGTCGAACTGCCTACTCTGGTGGCTCAAATCAGTTTTCATTCTGCAAAACCCACAGCTTGTTGCAGGGAGCTCTGGGAACATCGCTGCTTCTTAGCTCACATGGCATGGGGCAACCAAGGCGCTGGCGTGTACAATCTTGATATATCTTGATCACACAGCGCTGACCAACTACAGGGCTGAGAAAACATCAAGACAAATAATGCATAATGAATCATATGAATCATGATGAATCATGATGAAGCACGTGATGAAGCACCTGATGAATCAGAATGTGATAGATTCAGCATGAAAACAGACACAAACGTGTTTGTCGTCTGCAAACAAACAACGCGATATCTTTGGTGACCGAAAAACAGCCATGGCCACCATTTCCACACTCACGTGGGTGACTGAGTGGAGCCCGAGGGAGTGCGGGTGGAGTTGTCGTGGAGTTGTCCCATGGGCGCATCTTTCACGATTTCTTTCCTGCACAACTCACAGTTATAAAATGTGATAAATGTGAATAATGTGAATAATGTGACTATGCCCCGCAAAGAAACTGGACATTGCGTGCTGAGGTCTGTAAAGTCTCTCCACCCTGGGGAGGCTTTCTGCTAAAGTTTCTGTTTCTTTTTTTTACATTGGAGTCATTGGAGTCACTTAATTTGCAATGCCTCTCACGATGCTTCGAGTTGACACGATACACGGCCGGATTCCTATTGAAACTGCCACAAGTAGCCACAAGTAGCCACAACATGCCACAACATGCCACAACCACGAAACTTACGAAACTTCAGACAAGTTCCTTTATTATCCGATTTGATGGTAGGAACTTGCGAAGTCTGAAGTGGGCCAGGTGTTTCCAGCAGGCTGCGTCATCGAACTCTGCGGTGCAGCTGTACTGCGAACTACGGAGGATCTGAGTTCGGAGAAGTGGGTGGCTGAGCGGCTGAGTTGGAGCCTGACTTTTGAAACCAGTCGAGACGCCAGAGATTTGGCGATTGACGCTCAGTTGTGGGGAGCTGGAAGAAGGGCAGGCACACCACAGATTGCATTTCACTGCACGGTGCCACGGACACTGAGCAGTTCGCAGACGCAAATTGACAGAACCGATTTTGAGATATTGTGATTATTTTGATTTTGACAGATTTTGAGAGATTTGACATATTTTGACAACAGATTTGGCAGGCTTGCCTGGTGATCTCACATGGTGCAGCTCCAGACAGTCGTCGGTTACAGGTGTACCGGGTGTACTGTACCGGGTGAACCGCTTTGGATTGGCCAATTTTTGTCTCCATTTTTGTAGGTCTACGTCGTTGGTCGTGGACTTCGTGGCTGGATCAGCTGCTGCTTTGATGCAGTTCATTGCAGTTCAATGACAATGACATAATGACATTAAATGAGGTCCACGTTACACTCTGCAGTGTGCGAATTGTTTGAACGTAGAACGTGATTTTGTGACAGACTCTGGACTTGACACATCTTGACACTGGAGATGCCAAGGTGTAGCAAAATCTGGCAGGACATGGCTCGACACACGGATGCACACGGGCATGTAGTCGTCGCAGAGGTTTTTGTCGCCAGGAAGCTGGTGACCATGGTTGGGGCGCAGGGGAGCGAAATCGCCCTGAATGCTGAGGCTGAGGCCATCGCTACATTGTACATGCTGTATGAGAAAATGATGAGAAATTTATGATCCATTGGGAATCATTGGGATATCACTATTTTTATATATTTTTATGAGTATCATGATCCATTCATGATCCATTCAATCCATTCCCACGGAGACTCTGAGTTTGACCTGAAAGCTGAGCCTCGCAAGGCCAGTGGATCTTGGCGCTCCAGGGGTCCGTCCCAGGCAGACATCCGTCGGAGCGACGGGACCCCAGAATCACTGATCAACTCTGAGCAATGTTGAACGATTGGATCTGATGACGATTTGATATGATTTGATATGATTTGATGACGATCTGACAATCTGATAATTTTTTTAGTGAATATGATTGAAACATGATTGAAAATGAAGATCTCATGACAGAGACTTGATGACTTGACATATCTTGAAATCTCAGGTGGTCTCAAGTGGAATGTCTGCGATGCCGGGTGGATGTGCGGGATACCAAGCTGCCACTTGGCGCAAGGGTGGGCTTAACAGCTTCAATTTCTGATGAATCACGAATCAAAGATCTTGGAGACCTGGAGTTGCATATGTTGAATTGTAGATTGACCATGATTGACCTCTATTCGTGTTTGAAGATCTGTCACAAGAAGTAGGTTGATGATAATGAAGTCACAAGGCTATGCCTGCGGCATCTTGTGGCACTCTGCACAGCCAGACTTCTGCTTGTGGGCCTGCAGCCTTTCCACAGCAGAGTGTCTCTCGGTTTGGAAAGTGAAGTTTTGTGTGAGATTTTGCTGAGCAAAACCGTGGGAAGTAGAGTTCTCTTGGACAATTTGTGGTCGAACATGGTAGAACTCAATCAAGACATTGCGTGTGATGATGCTTCTTGTTCCTTTTTCATGTCTCAGTTTTTATTGTTTCAAGTTTCAAAGGAGTTGGATGTGAAAACTTCTGTCAGCCTTGATTTCTAGGCTATGCCTGCGATGGCATCTTGTGGCACGCTGCACAGCCAGACTTCTGCTTGTGGGCCTGCAGCCTTTCCACAGCAGAGTGTCTCTCGGTTTGGAAAGTGAAGTTTTGTGTGAGATTTTGCTGAGGAAAACCGTGGGAAGTAGAGTTCTCTTGGACAATTTGTGGTCGAACATGGTAGAACTCAATCAAGACATTGCGTGTGATGATGCTTCTTGTTCCTTTTTTATGTCTCAGTTTTTATTGTTTCAAGTTTCAAAGGAGTTGGATGTGAAAACTTCTGTCAGCCTTGATTTCTAGGCTATGCCTGCGATGGCATCTTGTGGCACGCTGCACAGCCAGACTTCTGCTTGTGGGCCTGCAGCCTTTCCACAGCAGAGTGTCTCTCGGTTTGGAAAGTGAAGTTTTGTGTGAGATTTTGCTGAGCAAAACCGTGGGAAGTAGAGTTCTCTTGGACAATTTGTGGTCGAACATGGTAGAACTCAATCAAGACATTGCGTGTGATGATGCTTCTTGTTCCTTTTTTATGTTTTTATTGTTTCAAGTTTCAAAGGAGTTGGATGTGAAAACTTCTGTCAGCCTTCATTTCTAGGCTATTCCTGCGATGGCATCTTGTGGCACGCTGCACAGCCAGACTTCTGCTTGTGGGCCTGCAGCCTTTCCACAGCAGAGTGTCTCTCGGTTTGGAAAGTGAAGTTTTGTGTGAGATTTTGCTGAGCAAAACCGTGGGAAGTAGAGTTCTCTTGGACAATTTGTGGTCGAACATTAGAACTCAATCAAGACATTGCGTGTGATGATGCTTCTTGTTCCTTTTTTAGTCTCAGTTTTTATTGTTTCAAGTTTCAAAGGAGTTGGATGTGAAAACTTCTGTCAGCCTTGATTTCTAGGCTATGCCTGCGATGGCATCTTGTGGCACGCTGCACAGCCAGACTTCTGCTTGTGGGCCTGCAGCCTTTCCACAGCAGAGTGTCTCTCGGTTTGGAAAGTGAAGTTTTGTGTGAGATTTTGCTGAGCAAAACCGTGGGAAGTAGAGTTCTCTTGGACAATTTGTGGTCGAACATGGTAGAACTCAATCAAGACATTGCGTGTGATGATGCTTCTTGTTCCTTTTTTATGTCTCAGTTTTTATTGTTTCAAGTTTCAAAGGAGTTGGATGTGAAAACTTCTGTCAGCCTTGATTTCTAGGCTATGCCTGCGATGGCATCTTGTGGCACGCTGCACAGCCAGACTTCTGCTTGTGGGCCTGCAGCCTTTCCACAGCAGAGTGTCTCTCGGTTTGCAACCATATTTCTTCTCAGGGATTCGCAGGCAACGATGTAAAACGTACCGAAAAAGGAGATAGAGGCATTCTTGGCAACATGCTTTTTTGCATTTGTCTGGCTGCTTGGTTTTTGCTTAAACCTGAAATTGCAGTTGGAGTTACTTTGATAGTTCTAATATGTTCTAATCTAATATGTTGTAATATGTTCTAATTATGCTTATGGCATCTTATGGCCGTTATTGGTACTGCACTTACCGCATTGAAAGGTTAGTGACGGCCATGGCCAGTTTGGAATGAGCTCGGTTACATTCCCTGAGGTGAGCAGTTGCCAAGTGGAAGGTTTTATAGCGCCTCAGTTTAACTCACTGTTTTCTATGCTTATGTTGTTTTTCCGGTGTGTTTCTTGCATCTTAGCATAAATGAAATAACATGAAATACAATGAAATACATTTGCCCTGGAATGTTTCGTGTTGCACGACTTGGATGCTGCTAGATGTGCTCAAATTGAATGGTCTGGGAAATCCCAAAGCACCCAGGAACCGCCAAACTACAAGCGAGGCCCTGACATTTCGTTTCGAGTTTTGTCGCAAATCGATGCCCTTGTTGAATTTGCACTAATTTGCTTGAATTCATCTGAGATTCAGCATTGGCTCTAAGGGCTCTAGACTTTCGACCAGGAAACTCAACTGCCTCGCAATTGACGGGAAGTTCAGCCGCAGAGGGCTTTCCCGTAGGCCGAACAAACTGGATGCAAAGATCTAAAATTTTAAAAGATGTATAAAGATGTATAAAGTTTGTATAAAGTAGAAGAAGACATTTTGATACATTTTGCCTCTCCACCAAACTGCCGCTATCCTCGTTTTTGACGAATTGGATGCAGGTTGTTGTGTAACTGCATTGGATGAAATGGTCATGAGGGCTGAGGACCTGGATTTGTGATGCTGTTGACTTTGGAGTAATTCGACCGCGCTTCGTGCGCTTCGCAGGAAGTACTCAAATCAGCACAGGTAGCAGTTATTGAAGAGGCGTCGTTGTCGTTGGTTGCGAGTCGTTTTTGGTTTTTGGTTTTTGCGAGTCTTGGTTTCATCCATCCATCCATCACATCATCTCACTGTCCCACTTCCAGGGCAGCCTGTTGGATGTGTTGGCTCATGGAGGCGAGCCTGGTACCCGACGGCTCTACGCCTGCAACCAAGATCTGAGGGACACATTTTGGTGGATCCGAGTCATTCCGTCATTCCTCGAAAGTTCAGAAATAGAAAGGCTTATATAGACTATATAATGTATATATGTATATATATATACACCAGTAGTACCGCACAAGGCGGTGGCGGAAGTTTCAAAAACAGGAAACTTATAGGAGAGCTTGGTTGTTGTGAATCACGGATGGCAGAGCAAAGCCACTGATGGATCGAAAGGTGATTGATGTCTCCTCTCTTTCTCTCTCTTTTTCTCTCTTTCTCTGATTATCTACCTACCTACCGATCTATCTATCTATCTATCCATCCATCCATCCATCTATCTGTTTGTCTATCTATCTATCTATCAATCAATCTATCTATCTATCTATCTAACTATCTATCTATCTATCTATCTATCTTCCTTCCATCTATCTATCTATCTATCTATCTTCCTTCCATCTATCTATCTATCTATCTATCTATCATCTATCTTCTATCTATCTATCTATCTCTCTCTCTCTCTCTCTCCCTCTCCCCCTCTCTCGATCTCTCTATCTCTCTATCTCTCTGTCTGTCTGTCTGTCTGTCTGTCTATCTATCTATCTATCTATCTGCAAGCTTGAAAACGAAGCAATTCTGCAAGACTTCTTCATTTTTTGAACTTGACAACATCCAAAACGAAGCACTTCTGCGAGACTTCTTCAATTTTTGAACTTGACAAGATCAAAAACAAAGCAATTCTGCGAGACTTCCTTCAAAAATGGAAATTTGAGTGCAGCGCTTACGGTTTGCAATTTTTCCAGTCCACCTGTCTAAAGTACTGCGCCTGCCACGAAAAAGTGATGCCAGGTCATACGAAGTGCTGCACCTGTCACGCAAAATCATCTTAGCAAACCTACAGATCTGATGCTCCAAAATGCAACCCCTCTCAGGAAATCAGCACCCTGACCTCCTAACATCTCTGATGAACATGTCTTTTGTACTGCGCCTACCACGCGACATGCATCTTTGCAGATCTTCTTCCAATGTCCCACGCCTGCCATCGTTTTTGGAAACGCGACAAAACCCTCACGTTTTGCTCACTTTTGAGAAGGTGCACAATCCCTTGCGCCTGCCACGCGAAACGACATCAACGGCGTGCACTTTTTCGACATCTCAACTTCCAAAAGTGGTCCGAACGTGACGTGTTTTTAACATTTTGGTTTTGAAATGTGCTCGCCACAACAACGGCGTGCTCTTTTTCGGCATCTCAACTTCCAAAACTGGTCCGAGAATGGTGTGTTTTGTACATTTTGACTTCGAAATGTGCTTCGCGCCACAACGGCGTGCACTTTTTCGACCTCAACTTCCAAAAGTGCTCCGAACGTGAGGTGTTTTTAGCTTTTTCACTTGCAAATGTGCTTCGCGCCACAACGGCGTGCACTTTTCATCTCTCATCTGGCCAGATGGCTCCGCGCCCGCCGCTTTAGCGAGCCTACTTTTGGGCCCCGGAGCGACAAATCATTGGAAAAATACAGTGTTTCGCGACTTTCCTACCTTTTCGCGCATCTGCATCTTCTTTCTTCTGACTCTTTCTCTTCTCTGATCTTCTCTCTTCTACTCTTCTCTTCTCTCTGACTCTTCCCATCCCTGCTTTTCATCTGCCCATATTGTCGGAAGTTTGACTTCTAAACTTCCTTCGATGACTATACGTGTTCATATAACAAACTCAATATGAAATATTAATTGTAAAAACAACATGACCAGGATTACGCTCCGATGTCAAAGTCATGACTCTTGCAACTTTCATTTTCAATCTGAGACCCTAGTCTCGGCCTAAGGTGAGACAACCAGAGTGAGGCTCACAGCACCAAAACGCAGCCGACACGGAACAGTTTGAAATTAGCACTTGAGACATATTGAGACCATAATCAATTGACAAATTGTCAAATTGTCAAAATTTCTTCATATCTCTCCTCCGAGGTGATAATTTCAACATATTTTGATCTTATTTTGACCTTATTTTGACCTTTTCAGACATATTCCGAGGTCAGGACTTTGTGGTTGGATCAGCTGTGTGGCGCAGGTGGGTCGTTGAGTCATTGAGTCGTTGAACATGTCGTGCAACTCGTGGAACACACCAGAATTCACAAAAAATCCACAATTCGTCGTGACAACATCTGGCCCAGTCTGGTCGAGCGCTTGCTGAAGCCTCAGTTGAACCAAGAAGTACAGATCCATCATTTCTTTGCTCATCTTTACTCGTTTTTTGTTCTTTTCATTTCCTTTGAAGGTTCTTTTGCGTTTTTTTCTTGTGGAAACTCACAATCAAATCTCTCAGGTTAGTGTCGCTGCGGCTCAGGCAGCCATCATTCCAAGATCCAAAAAAAATCGCAAAAATCATTCCATGGTCTAAAGATGACCTACTTTTCCAAGCAACGTAAACTCATGTAGCATTCCATTTAGACCGATGGGTTATGATGGGTTTCAATCCATGTCGCAGGCTCCTCCAGTTGCTGCAGTGGCATCAACAGCAACCAGAAGATCCCAAATGCTCAGTGCCCTTCCTCAAATGGACCAAGTGGGTGAAATGGAATTTATGCGGGCAAATTCTTTGTCAAAGTCACACGAGTTTGCAAAAGGATCGGATTTTGTCCTGTGGTCCACCTTGGCCTTAGGAAACGTATTGTCCCTTGCATGTAAAGCCTTTGTTTGATTTTGGATAGATTCCAGACTTCAATTTGCGGCCTTGTGTTCTCGGCTGCACAGATTTTGCAGCGTTCTTCAGATTGGAATTCTGAGGTGGAGTCTCTCAAGCTTTTGATCCGCAGGCCAAAACGTTTCTTCTCAAGCCAGCTGCAAGCGGTTGGCAAATGCGTTGGAAATCCAGAAAGTTGCGTTTTGCAGGAGGCAGAAGTGGAGCGTGTCAGAGCCGCTTGTTTCACTTATTAACTTCTTTGATTGTTTGATATTGTTTATTTTCCTGCAGTTTTCCTTTCGTGCCTTCTGTGCTCTGATGTGGACAGATGTGCTAGTTTACTAAAGCTTTTGACATGTCGAAGTTTGCCAATTCGGATGAGAATCTGAGACTGTGCAAACGCAGCGTTCCGCTGCTGGTACCACTGCAACCACCGTCACCACATCGTGACTCTGCAGCAGAACTTTTGACCATAGAATAGCTTCAGTATGCTTCAGTTATATCTGAAAGTTTCCAAGGGAAGCACGTGGGCAACTGAAACCAACATTGCAGCAAGAAGATCAACATCAACGGAGCACAACCGAGCTTGGAATCCACAGCCATCAGCCCAGGTATCCTGCGCAACAGATCACAGAAGATCCGATGCAGGGTAAACAATGGCTGAGAAGACAAAAAGCACAAGACCTTCGCGAGGAGGCCGGCACCATCGGGCAGTATCGTGCAGTGCGGCAGTGCGAAGCACAACGGATGCGATTGTTATCGATGTTGTGCAGCTGCCATGTTCGAAGAATTTGTTTGAAGAATTGACACCCTGAAAACACAAGAAAGGAACCACCATCATGAAAAGGAAGAAACGTGTCCAGATGAAAGAAGCTTTTGGCTATTAAATCACGCTGTTGGAGATGGACATGTGACAGGATGTGAAAAGGCACTTTTTGAGAACTTTAAAGTTGGGATCAAGAAATATCAAGAACCAAGCTGCATGTTCATTTGTCACCAGCGTCATCATCTTATTCATCATCTGATTGTTCGTCCAGAAGTGCAGTTGTTCGGTTGTTCGTCAGGCTCCAAAACGCTTCTTGGTGGACAATCGCATGTTGAACGCCGCGACAGATGGGATCGGCTACCGCCCGGATCCAAGTTGCCAGGGTGTATCTTGCATTTTTACATATTTTTACAATATTTCACATCACAATCATCACAGGTTTCTGGTGGGTCTCTCTCTCTCTCTCTCTCTTTCTCTCTCTCTCTGACTCTTTGAATTTGCTGTGCTTCTCTGTGCTTCTTTGCTCAGGATTCTCCAAAGATCTTGAGGACCTTGACCTCAGCTGCACAGCCCCCTGGGGTTCTATCGTCGAGGCATCAGTGGACCAGCTTCGTGACATCTTGTGACGTAACCAACCTCTCTATGGCTCTATGGCTCTATGGCTCTATGGCTATGTTTGATTACGTTTGTGTCCAAGCGATTTTGCCAGCAAGCATTTTGGGTGTCGGAAATCATGTGTCTTCAACGTGTCTTCAACGTGTTCTGAGAATGTGTTCTGACATGTTTCGTCTTTTTTTGTCCGTCCAGGGTGTTGATGAGGGCAGTTGGATCCGTGTGTCGGATGAGTTGTATTTGCCCAAAGAGTGCCTCGGCGCAGAGTTGGAGACTTCATGAATCTTCATGATTTCATCCACTTTCCTCAGCACCATTGAGCAGCATTGATATGTAAGACAATGTAAGACACGGAGGAAATGCATGTAGCACATATTAGCACAGAAGTAGATCATTGAATTTACTAAACCACATAGTTTGGACAGGTGAGGGTTTCATTTCTTTAGGCTTGGCGGTGTCCCTGTCTTGACATTGGAGGAGCCAAAGTTTCAAAAGTTTTAACTTTGAACACATTTTCAGATTTATCTATATGTATCTGATATGTATCTCAAATGTATTCGATATGTATCTCAATATATGACTTATATGTATATATCTGAATTGGTCTGAATTGGCTGGAGATGGCTGGAGGAAACAACTGGATTGTTTCGTGGATGACTGCTTTACCTCGCAGGACACACCTTTTGCTTTGTCTGGTCTCCAGGTCAACGAGGCCAGGGCAAGTGCTGAAGATTATCAAACGCTCATAAACACGATGAGCCGATACGATTCACTATGATTCACTGAAACAAATCACCAAATCACAAATCCCAAATTGTGCAAGAGATCCGAAGGATCCAATGAATTCTGATGGTTCTGGTCATTTTGATTCAACTGGCAGCTCATTGAGGCTTTCCCCATTGGCAGCGAGCTCATTGTCTTAGAGGCTTGGTCATCTCCGACGCTGCATCACGCTGTCTGCGTTGTTTTTGGATGCTGAAACTTCACCACTGTGAGGCGGCAATAATGAGAGCAGCTGAGGACACCAGTAACTCAGTACTGCCGTCTGGAGTGACTGGAAATAACAGCCTTCCGGTTTCTGGATGCGTCCATGATTTCTGAGTATACAGTATAATCACATATAATCACATATAATCAAGCCGGATATCTCAATGAATTTTTCAGCACGTTCAACAGGATGTTCAGCAAGATGTTCCCGAGGAGCTGCGAAGTGCAGCTTTGGCTCAACTGGAGAAGGTCGCCATCCAAGTCTTCCGAATCAGAGCTTTAGACATTTTGAAAGGTGTGACCATGATTAACCTAGATTAGCCTAGATTAGCCTAGATTTAGTTTGACTCACTTTCCGACGATTCCGACTATCGTCAGGACCGCCGACTTCAAGTGCTTGGCTACGGAACAGGCACCTTCCCATGAATCGGGATTCATATCAATTCATATTCCAGAATTCAGAGAAAACTGAAAGCTCATATCATGTAACTGAGGGGTCGTCCAAGGTTTTGATTTTCATGTTTTGATTCCTTGGTTTCTGTTCATGAAGGCATCCGAAGCCGGCGCCTCTATGTACAAGACCCCATGCCTCAGACTCAATGAAGCATAGCTGGCTGACCTGGGCGTGAGAGGGCAACGCCTTGTCTTGTTTAGTGATGTTATCCATTGAACAGAAACTCAAAAGATGGGCCAATGGGGACTCTTTTGGGGGCAAAGAAATCAAAGAACAAGACCCAGCTGAAGGAGAATTCTGAGAATACCAACATCAGAGGAATTGTTCAATTGTTCATGTTGAACTCTTCCCCAGTGAGTAAAGACTTGCAGAGGATGCTGGAAATCGATTGGAAAAAGCAAAGTATGTTAGCATTGGTAAAAGCCAACCACAAGGAGTTACACATAGAGAAAAAATGGTTGTGACATGTTGTGACAGTGACTGTCATCAATTTAGGTCTGGACAAGATGGGTGGATCAGCTTCGCTTCCCAGACTCGGTCTTAGCTTTTCAAAGCCTTACAGTCCTTTTTGTGTTAACAGCACTACTTGCACCGAAAAACATCAAGCAGAAGAAAGGCTCAACTGCTTTGGTTTTCACATGGTCTTCCTGCAGCGCATTCAGCCGATGTGCAGTGTGAGGAACGGCAAGCTGCTAGTGGCCCCAACTGAAGCCACTGCTGATGAAGTTCAGAAGGCTCCTCAGAGGGGCACAAGATACAAGGATCTGTCCTAGTATCTATCCTAGTATCTATTCTAGTGATTCTAGTGATTCTAGTGATTCTAGTATCTACTAGGCAGCTTCAAGATCTCGGGTTGCGGACTCTGGGCCCATAGGGGACACCCTCATTTGTGACAGGTGGCGACAATGGCGACGAGAGTGGCGATGCCCATGGAGCAATTTCAGGATCCAACAGTTCGCCGGGGAGTGATGGGAATCAGCCCTCCTGCGTCATTTGCATCCCAAAATATCAGTGAGAAAGAATCAAAAGAATCTTAGAGCTTCGCAGTGCTGCTCTCCTCCCAACATCAGAACATATCGGAACATATCAGAACTATCCGGAACTTTGGAAGCTGAGGAGGAGCAAATGCAGCAACCAGAGGTGGAACAGGCTTACTTCGTGGACAACAGGGAGTTCAAGGCTACAAGCGCCAAAATGCTTGGGAGCGGTGCTAACTGAGATCCATGCGGATCCGTGCGGATCCATGGGTCATGCCATGGGTCATGTTGGGTCCGTTGGGTCCACTTTGTTTTGGTCGCCGCGAGGCCGACTCTGACGGCATCGGCTACCGCGCCTCGCAAGACTTGGACGACAAGGCCAGAGCCTGACCAAGTGGCGCTGCCAAGTGGCGCTGCCAAGTGGCGCTGCCAAGTGGCGCTGCCAAGTGGCGCTGCCAAGTCGTTGTCCAAAGTTTTCTCATTGTCTCATTTGTCTCATTTGTCTCATTTGTCTCCCCAAATGGATAACTTTCATCATTTTCTCCATCTGTCATCTTTCGTCATCTCTCGTCATCTTTCCTCATCGGAATTCTCCAGCATTCTGAGGCGGTGCCGGCGCGCACGGCGCTCTGGGGCTCCGTGGTCCATGGTGTCGATGTCGGCGATGGATGGTGCAGGCGGAGCTGGACGTGCTGCGATGTGGTGATGCTGTGATGCCCTGAGCTGAAGTGATGTTGGAAATTGTTGGAAATTGTTGGAAATTGTTGGAAATTGTTGGAAATTGTTGGAATGATTGATGTGAAGTGGTCAAGAAGTGCTCAAGAAGTGCTCAAGAAGTGCTCAAGAAGGTCAAGAGTCAAAGAGTCAACTTCTCAAAACTATTCAAAAGTCAATATTGAAGATGTTTGAAATCAAAGTTCGATCTGGAAGAATCTGCTTGGAGATAATATGAGAGAGTTTCTTTGCAGTTTGGTTTGAATTTATGGCACTCCGTGGCACAAGACCTACAAGACTCTTGGCCGCCAGGGTGGGTGCATATTATCTGCCAATGAGTCTGACTGGCTTGAGGGTGCTAACCCCAAAGGCGCCGAAGACTGCCATACCAAACGCATCCAAACGCTATGAAATGCGCAGATCATACAGAAGATCGGAAGATTGGAAGAGTAGATTGCTTAGGTCGCTTTGGTGTTCGGGTAAAATTCCACCCGCAATCCGTTTGCCTCTGTTGGCCACTTTTGGATCAAATTGTAGATCTCACTGGAGATCGTGCTACTATTGTCTTGCAGTACAGAGTGTATCCATAGACTCGCCCCCAAGATCAAGGCTTCTCTCACCAAGTCCACTTCAACTGAGCAGCCCCCGGAGGAAGAAGTGTCTGCATCGCTGTTGCCAAAGCTGGCCGGCTTTGCCAGAGGTGATTGGGAGTGCTTTGGAGAAATCAATTCATGTTCCTATGCCATCCTCTGAACGTCATAGAACAGCATGAACCACTATGATCTCAAAGTTAGCGCAAAGATTTAGAAGGAACTATGTCTTTTATGTCTTTTATGTCTTTTATGTCTTTTATGTCTTTTATGTCTTTTGGAAGGCACGGTGTGCAACCTTCACGGGAGTCACGACGGACACGACCGTGCCAAGGTACATCTGCGTGGATCCGCAGGGTGTGGTGACACACCTGGAGCCCGAGGAAGCAGAATCCAAACCCACCGGGCAGGTGCGGCGACTCGAAGCGGGTACACGTTGCAGTTGTACCATGTGAAAGTTATATCAATCATTATCAATCTATATCTTTTATTATCTTTTTATTGCTTTCAGTTGTGACATACTTTTTCTTCGTGCCGTGATTTGAATGCCATGTGAGCTGCATTTTAAAACACCAATTGATGAGAGAAAAACATAGAAAAACCACTTGGACAATCTTTAACGAGCCGTTTATCGTTGAGATTTTCCGCCGCAGCCAGTGCTGGCTCCACAGACAAGCACATGAAGCATGAAAAAGAAAACCAATAGCAAATTCAGCAACCTCAGCCATTTCCAAACATACAGCCACACAGCCAAGCCGGGATCAGTTTGTCCCTCCTCTCTTTTCTCGGTGTGTGTATATATATCCTGTTCTTGACCTGCGCCTGGGTGTCGAAACCGGGTAACTTGCAGTGGGGAAGCGAGGAGGCGTGGGAGCTGTCTGAGCAGAGCTGTGACATGATTGAAGTACCATTTTGCCAAAGATTTGTTTCAACAGATTTTAGTCGAAATCATGTTAACATAGGATTCGTCCTTGAATAAAGCAACTCCCTATGAGTAAAGTATGCCAACTTTAGGGCTGATTTTTGTTGAGGCGATATATTTTCATATGGCAATTTCTTTGGCGATAAAAATGTTTGACACCTTGCGGTACCGGTTATTTCACGGGATACCTTTAGAAAGAGGGCGTGGGGGAGATTATTAATCCCATCCCAACATTAAACACAAAAAATAATTGTGTTGTCTTGATCACTCTTTGGCCAGCAACGGGCAAATTTCACGAATGTTGACAAGCATTGACAGCATTCTGAGATTTTGGAAAAATGCGAGTTTCTGATTGTACAAATCTGCCCCGGGACACCTTGAGTGCGATCCTTGCTGTTCTCGAAAAATGACGTTGACATGTGCGAGTCCTCGCTTGACTTCCCCACAATCTAGTTTGTTGTGTTCCGACTACATGTGGATGCGATTGTCTTTTTGTGCAGCATGGTTGTAGATTTAATCTGCCAACTGGCGCTAGCTCCAGTGGCTGTTTGATGGTCCACTGCCCACACACAAAGCAAGTTTGCGCATATATGCGCATATAGGTTTGCCTGCTCTTTTCCACGCGTGTTTCTTTGAGAAACTTTACAATTTCGATATTGTCCAGTTTTCAACGCAAAAACCCGACGCAAGACATGAACCTGTGCGCGCGCGGCGCTTTTCCATTCAGGTTAGGCAATGGAACAAAATTGTTTTTCAGCCAGCCTACGAAACTTTGTTGCTCCGAAGTCAAGTCGCAGACTAGCAGTTTAAGATAAGTTAAGTTGTTTCTCCTGTTTTCCGGCCCGGAAAAGCTTGTTGAGTCACGACAAAACCTCTCAAGAAAATTGCATGTCAGCACAGATTGCAACGCATGAAAACGTTAGGTATCGGCAAAAAACTACGAGTAATGAATAGCTGAATTTGTTGTACCTGGTTGTATTTTGGATTATTTTGGCATGGACTGCGCAGCACGGAATCCACAGCGCAGCGATCTGATTTGTCCCCGACGCGTTTGAATTCGCAATCTGTAGGGTTTGCACCTTTTTGGCCCTATGTAACCATTAAAAACCTGAAAAAAACATAAGCACCCATAGTCACCAGTAATCACCCGTAAAACCCTGCGAACCCGTAACCTGTTTAACCTCGCCTATTTGAAAACCAGATTGAAGTGATTCATTCTACGGCTGCATGGCTGCGAGCTCTTGCACTGCCACTTGTGCAGGTCAATGGACCTGCCTGGAGCAGTTGTAGACGAGGAGGTGATGATGATGCATGCTGATGCAGTCTTGAAGTGACAGTGACAATGTGTCAAACGACATATCGGCGTCATATCGGACCATGATGCCATGTGAATCTGCGCAAATGGTGACGCTGTTGGTGCAGTTATGGCAGTTATGACACATCATGACACTTCTATTTCTGCGACGTTTGTGGACAAGTAAGTGGGAGACGTCATGGGGTGCATGTTGCATGTTCTGCGTGAGGAACCAAAGCCGGAGTCCATCAAAAGAAAAAAGTCGACTTCATTAGCAGAATCTAGAGGGTTTCATGGCTTTATGATAGCTTTCTGGCTTCTGTGACAGTGCTTCTTGTGATTCGCTGTTGAACTTACATGATTTTACCAAGAGGTGCCGCCGCCAAACAAATATTTATTTCTTTCTCTGCCCACGCCTTCCAGATGCACTGGATCCACTATTGGAATATGTTGGAATTTCTGTTGGAATCACTTGGCGCTCGAGTTGAGCTGAGTTGAGCTGAGTTGAAGCTGTGGTTTGGTTTGTCGACTTGCTGCATTTGCTCTCGAGGTTAGGATTAACGTCGCTTCCGACGGGAGCCATCCGAAGACAGTCTCGGAGTTCCGACCCAAAAACCTCGCCCAAAGCAACAAAGGGCCGGACTCTCAGTCTCAGCATCTCTCAGCCCTAATCTGTTCATTATTTGATATACTGATATACGATGATATACGGATATACTATCCTGAAAGATTTGATCCGGCAGAAATGTATGAAAGGCTTCCGGAGAATAGACGAACAAAGATCAAAAAGAAAAGAACCCTTTGATCATCAGCTTGGAACAATTGCAAGAACTCCCAACGCAGGGACACTTCCAAGTGGTTAGAGCCACAGAGTTTGTGACCTTTATTTTGTCTATATCATGCCCTGTCCTCACCTGAATTTCGTTCCAGTACCTACTATCTACACTACTCATCACTGGTCACTACATAATATAATAATATACTTATATATACTTATAATATAATTACATAATTACAAAATATTATATACTCAATAATTATATATAATTATATAATATATAGGTCTATATACTCATACCGTCGGACAGTACCTATGAAATTTGAGGGCCAGAGGGCCATGGAAGGCGATCCGATCCCATTCTGAGACTCGCCAGACTCGCCTTAGATTATGCCAAGACCAAGGCCCTCAGTACACAGTCCGTCTTTGGGAATATGGATTGACCGGCTGGTTAGAGAACTGCCCTCAGCTTGCCAGCCAGACTGGCCTTCATTAGCATTAGAATCATTAGAATCATTAGAATCATTAGAATCATTAGAATCATTAGAATCATTAGAATCATTAGAATCATTAGAATCATTAGATCAATGAAGTCATGAAAACTACATTCAACTATCATGAGCTGCCACCTTGGCTAAGGAAACATCACTTTTGCGCTGGACTTGAAGTAGCTGCCATCTCAGATTTGCACCAAGAGGTCTTCACAACTGGAACCAGTTCTCTCCCTGTTGATGGAGTGAAAATGAGTGAAACAAAGTATAGATTTGGGAGTGGTCACTTGCCAGGTGAGAAATAAGTAGAGATTTGTTTGCTAATGACCCCCTGTGGCTGCTCACTGGGAACTTATTTGTGACTGAACTGACTGAACTGACTGAACTGACTGAACTATCCAAATTTGTTCCTTTCTCCGCTCTTCATCGTTCGCCCATTCTACTGAGTCGCTGAGGATCTTAAAGTCGGTTTGAACTCCTGCGCAGATGTGTTTTAGTCTCAGAAACCACTGTAGTATACTGTTTGACGGCAATATTTCGCGGAAGACGTCTCAGATTTCAACATTTTCTCATCTTCTTTTCGATTTTGAAAGATTTGAAAGCCACATTGATTTTTGTTTCGATTCATGCTGCATCAACCAAGGGTGCATAGCACAGGGGAGGAGATGCAAAAGGATGTCCCCGTCTCAGAAGGTTCTGAGGATCACAATCTCCTGGAGGTTTCATGCAGCACAGAGAGGGGACCTCACAGCAAAGGTTTATATTTCATGGTATTGCTTCTTTGCATTATTGCATCTAATAATGAAACTTTCTCTAAATAATTCACTCCTTTGTGAAGGAAGGTTTGCGCATACTGGCACCAACACTTTCTTTAAGAACTACCGTAATCATTTAAAATAGGCACTCAAAGGATTCCATGATACATCCCTTTACCTCCTTAGAAGAACTTTGCACAGCTACAAGTCTATTTCAAAGAAATCCATTCCTTTACATAAAGAGACTGTACAGAGCGATGCCACTTTATGCAAGGAATGTCATATCATTTGAAAGATACTGCTGCACAAGGCATATATAAGAGGATGTAGCTTTGAAAACAAACTTTAAAGCGATGCAGAGGTTTGAGAATGCTAGGAGAGATGCAGAATTGTTGGGATATGTCCTTGGAGAGTCTGCAAGGCCGAACCGAAAAAACAAAAAAAGTCGAACAAAAACAAAAAACGAAAAACACACGAAAAAACCAAGGTCTCTGATAGAATGAAGGCTCCACCGACATCTCTCTGTCAGACAAGTTTTTTTTCTTCAGAAGAGGTCCTATAGTTTTGCATTATTTTCGGAATGTTATGTGTTGTCAAAGACTTGTATTGTTTATATTGAAAACCAAAAAAAGCCGAGAAAACAAACAAAGACAGAACCAAATCGAGAAAACCTTAAAAGACTCCAGAGGTCTTGGGGATGTGAAGGGCCCAGCCAAGAGTCTCAACATATTGTTTTTGTTTTTTTTTTGAATAGTTTTCTTGAGTTTTTTTGTTTTCTCCATGGGGCCCTCCCCAAAGAGTTTCAAAATATTGTTTCTTTTTGCTTTGCTTTTCAAAATATTGTTTTTGAGTTTTGATAGATGTTAATGGCATGATGTGTAACATTGACATTGGTGGTAGATGGCGTTGACATTTAGAAGGGATTTGGACAGAGGTTAATGACATAGATGTGTCACATTGACATTGATAGATGGCATTGACATTGAGAAGGGATTGAGAGGTAGGTTCTGGTGGGGGTGACCACATATATAATAAAATATTATAATATATATATACACACCTATTTATACATATATAATATATATATATATACATACATATATATACATATATATATACATATATATATGATATATCTATATATATATGTATGTATGTATGTATGTATGTATGTATGTATGTATGTAATGTAATGTAATGCAATGTAATATAATGTTATGTTATGTTATGTTATGTATATATGTAATGTATGTTATGTTATGTATATATGTAATGTATGTAATGTATGTAATGTATGTAATGTATGTAATGTATGTAATGTATGTAATGTACGTAATGTATGTAATGCAATGCAATGCTAGGTATGCATGCAATGTATGTAATATATGTAATGTATGTAATGTATGTAATGTAATGTGATGTGATGTGATGTGATGTGATGTGATGTGATGTGATGTGATGTATGTATGTATGTATGTATATATATATATATGGCCCAGCATTTGGTGGTCCCCCCCTCCTCCCCGAGATGATGATGGTCCCTACACAGTTGACTATTTAGTTATATAGAGAGATCAGAACAATGGATTTGCATGGTCTTTCTTCAAGCTTTCTTCAAGCTGCTTGTTGTGTAAAAACGACATGGTGCGAGCGCAACCAAGGTGCACCTGCCATCGACCTCATTGACGGCTCTCACCCAGCTGCAGGAATCACTGAAGAGTCCAAGTGGGCTCCTCCTGGACATTGCAGACTGTCGTGACTTGGCCAAAAAAACATTGACCAAGTTTTAGTCATTACAGCTCAAGTATAGCTGTATGATGCTGTATGGCTCAAGTTTTTCAAAAGTCAAGTCAAAAAGTCGTAAAACAAATCGTGAACCAATGGAAATCAGTGCGGAACGTAGCATTGAATTTCATGAGACATCATGAGACTCTGCACTGCATATTGACATGGCAGGACGAAAACATGAGCACACCCCTTGGTTGCACAGGATGCTTTTATCATCTTTTATCTAGCATTAAACAACATGTTCGAACATGTTTCGTCTTTGTTGGCTGATGTTGGCTCAGGTGATGTGCACTTCACGGAGCTTTTTTCAAGCATGCTTGAAGCTCGGATGACCCACTGGCCAAAGTGGCTATGGCTCATGATAGCTATGTTAGCTATGTTCGCTACGATGGCTTCCGGAAAGTCTCTTAGATAAAGACTGTTTGGTTTGGTCAGTATTTTGCGTCAAGTTTCTTCCAATGTCTTTTGTCGCATGTGGAACGCATGGAACATGGGGAGTTTGACGGTGTTCGTGTTGGTCAGCAAGAGGTTGTCAGAACTTGGAAGAGATGTGCCTGGCAGCATCGTCCAAGAGGCCTGCAATTTGACGAAAAAACGTGTGATAGGTCAATGATTTGTGAAAGGATTGTGATTTCAGATTTGACAATGACAAAGCGTACAGTGTGTAGAGTGCTCAGCTGAGCAGTTTCTCCAGGCAGAGCTGCTTCTAAATGAGCATCCGTACGTGACGAAGGACAGTTTGTAAAGTCTGTACAGAAACGCTCTGTGACTCATGTTGACATATTATTGACATATTGTTGACATATTCGATCATATCCTTGAAATTATTTGTTGACCTATGTTGACCTATTATAATTATTGACGTTGACCGAGTACAAACTGAGAATCCAGTCATATCAAGCACATTCTGCAACATTCTGCAAAATATCGCGAGATCGCCCAAGGAGGGAGCCCCTTCCAAGGACGATGCTGTAGGGGAGGCGCCAGAATGGGTGACCGCTGTGCCGCTGGGCCAATGACAACTTCGAGCTGTTTGAGCTGTGAGTCCACAGTGCTATTCCATGCCGCCATTTCGACCATGACCATTCGGACTGCGCAGTCCATGGACATCTTCCTGTGCTGCACAGCGGGTCTAGGCCTTGGCAGGGCTTAGCTTATCCTCATTTTTTTTCCTTAACTGATATCAAGCTCGAGCTTATCTTCTGATCTTCATCTGATCTTCATCTGATCTTCATGCAGATGTTGGAGCTGGATCAGTTGGATGAGTTGGATGAGTTGGATGAGTTGGATGAGTTGGATCAGGAAGTGGTCTGACACGCCCGGTCTTGGCATTGGCGAGACTAAAGATGGAGGTCCCAGACCCCAGGTGATGTGACTGGAGTGACTGGAGTGACTGGAGTCGCTTGTGTCCAGACCCCACAGGATTTTGCAATGAGTTGAACAATGTTGAACAATGTTGAAAAACATGCAGCATCATGCAGCAGCTGCGGCATGCACGACTTAGGGCGGCATTCATTTTCAAATTGATGAAGGGTGTGGTGAGATGCGCTTTGCTGCGGTCAGCAGCTGAATGGGCGGACCACGTCATGCATGATATGCCAAGAGATGGAGACACATACAGTACAAACATACAAAATCAGCATCAACCAGCATGAAGCAGCCTGTTGTATTGCAAGGGAACCAGCAGTGTGCACACTTGTGCAAGTGGATTCAGCAAGAGGAGGCCTGTCTCAGCCAGCCAAAGGCTGAAAATGGCTGAACTAAGGTAGTGCTTTGTGACACCAATTCTGAGAAAGGTGGGAGATCACTGGCGCGAGCATTGGTGCGGACCTGAAGTCGCGGAAATTGATAGAACTGAGGCCCTCAGAGTGGTCAATCGGTCAATTCATTGGAACTGGGGGTTTGAACTTTCAACCGACTCCGATACGCCAAGGCAACGACCTTCATGGACGAGGCCCGAAAAGTGAAGCCAATGCAGATGCGTCATGAAGCCAACATGATATGCAGCTGTTCGCAGCTGATTTTAGATCTCATTTCCGCATTGTCTTGTGATCCGTTCTGTGATGCCACAAGGATGTGTGAAATGCATCATGTCATTTGAGCTCATATTATCGAACACAAACTATGCGCCATCCTCAAAAGAAAGGAACACATATCGAACATACACATCATTCAACTTCACTCACTTCACTCACTTCATATTGTTTCATGTCGCACAAAATATATCAAAATGTATCGAATTCGGACGACATGATCGACTGACGATGTGACGATGTGACGATGTGACGATTGGTCAGGACTTCTCCGGCATCGCTCGGTCGGCTCCGCGGGACCAGCCGGAGACGATCAGAGAGGTGCGGCCACGAGTTTTTTCCCGTCCCCGGTCGCAACGGGTCGCAACGGGTCGCAGCGGGTCGCAACGGGTCGCTGTCGCAACGGGTCGCAATCATCGTGGCATTGTGATGGCATTTTTTAATCCCCCTTGGAATTTCCTCTACAAAATGGTAGGGGTTAACCCCCAGAAACGGAACCAAAATGATATAGGTCTTTTTTTTAGCTTTTTTGGAAGGGTTGGGTGAAGCCATTTTGTAGTGCCCAAAAAAATTGATAAACCAAACTGTAGTGATTTTGTTTTTTTTAAGTGCCCATTCAATTTTGGCCAAGAAAATTATAAACCAAACTGTAGACATTATCGGCCAGTTGAGGCTGGGTTCCAAGAAAATTAAAAAACCAATCTGTAGTGACTTTGTGTTCTCAAAGTGCCAAATGTTGATTTCCAAGAAAATTACAAAACCAATCTGTAGTCATTTTCAGTGCTCAGTGCTCATTTCCAAGAAAATTACAGAACCAATCTGTAGTGACTTGGTTTTTAAAAAGTGCCCATTCAGTGTTGGCCAAGAACATCATAAACCAAACTGTAGACTTTGTCGGTGGTTCGGTGCTGGTTTCTAAGAAAACTGAAAAACCAATTTGTAGTGACTTTGTGTTTTCATTTGTGATAAGTGCTGATTTCCAAGAAAATTTCAAAACCAATCTGTAGTCATTTTCAGTGCGCGGTGCTGTTTTCCAAGAAAATTACAGAACCAATCTGTAGTGACTTTGTGATGAATGATGAAGATTATGAAGAATGTGTTGTATTGTTTTTATTGTTTTGTGAGATGTGAGACAGTTGCGTGCAGCCAGTGCAGAGGTTTGCTGCCGGCAGTTTGGCATGCGTAGCTATTCAGCAATGGAACGACAAAGTGCCGCAGCCACAGGGGTAAAAAAAGAAACGCCAGATTCACATGGTTTCGTGCCTGGTGAATCCTGGTGAATCATGGTGAATCCTGGTGATGCATGGTAACGCATGGTAATGCATGGTAATGCATGGTAATGCATGGTAATGCATGGTGATGCATGGTGATGCATGGTGATGCATGGTGATGGGAGTGGTGGATAGTGGTGGGAGATGGTGGGAGGGGGATTCTGGATGATTCATGATGATTCTGGAATCACCTGGAATCTACTTTTACATTTTTTTACAATCTTTTACATACAGATAGACACAGATTTTTATATATAGATTTAGCATGATTTAGCCTTACAGAATGGTTTTGTAGTTTTTTGCTGAAAACAACGAACAAACCTACAAAATGGTTTATAGTTTTTTTTTGAAAAATGCCAACCCATAGTTCACAAATAGGTTTGGTTTTACAAAATGATTTTTTTTTGGGGGGGGAACTTTTCACAGATGGGTTGTTGTGCCGAACAACTTTACAAAATTGTTTTGTTTTTTCAGAAAAAATGAAAAACTTGTGTTTTTTAATCAATACTACTAAATGGTTTTATATGTTTTTTGGGATTTGGCCAGAGATTGGGTTTGGCTTTACAAAATGGCTTTAGTACTTTTCAAAAAACAACGGATACATCTACAAAATGGTTTGTAGTTTTTTTGGGAAAATGTAAACTCATTGGTTCAAAAATGATTGAGCCTTACAGAATGGTTTATAAAATTCCTGGAAATCTGAAGATATCTGAAGTTATTTCTACAAAATGGTTTGTAAAATAATTGCTACACAATGGTATTTGAAATGTTTTTCCGCAAAATGCATTTAAAAAACCATTTTGTAGGGAGCCTTCAACCATTCTGTAGTGGGGTGGGGTTGGGTGCCTCTACGTTTTGGCTCCCCCAACCCAACCCCCCAAATTCCAAGTGGGATTGTTTGCATTGTTTTATATTGTTTTGTGAAATGTGAGACAGTTGGGTGCAGCCAGTGCAGAGGTTTGCTGCCGGTAGTTTGGCTATGCGTAGCTATTCAGCAATGGAACGACAAAGTGCCGCAGCCACAGGGGTAAAAAAAAAACGCCAGATTCACATGGTTTCGTGCCTGGTGATGCATGGTGATGATTGTTTATGGTGATGCATGGTGATGATTGGATATGAATGGATATGATTGGTGAATATTGGTGATGCATGGTGATGCATGGTGATGCATGGTGATGCATGGTGATGGGAGCGGTGGATAGTGGATGATACTGGATGATAGATGATGATAGTGGATGGTAGTGGTGGGAAGGGGATTCTGGATGATTCACGATGATTCTGGAATCATCTGGAATCTACTTTTACAATCTTTTACAATCTTTTACATACAGATAGACACAGATTTTTATATATAGATTTAGCATGATTTAGCCTTACAGAATGGTTTTGTAGTTTTTTGCTGAAAACAACGAACAAACCTACAAAATGGTTTATAGTTTTTTTTGAAAAATGTCAACCCATAGTTCACAAATAGGTTTGGTTTTACAAAATGGTTTTGTTTTTTTTGGGGGGGAACTTTCACAGATGGGTTTATGTGCTGAACAACTTTACAAAATGGTTTTGATGTTTTTTCAGAAAAATGAAAAACACCTGATTTTTTTCAAGGAATACTACTAAATGGTTTTATATGTTTTTTTGGGATTTGGCCAGAGGTTGGTGTTGCCTTTACAAAATGGTTTTGGTTCTTTTCTAAAAACAACGAATATCCCTACAAAATGGTTTGTAGTTTTTTGGGGAAAATGTAAACTCATTGATTCAAAAATGATTGAGCCTTACAGAATGGTTTATAAAAATTCCTGGAAATCTGAAGATATCTGAAGTTATTTCTACAAAATGGTTTGTAAAATAATTGCTACACAATGGTTTTTAAATGTTTTTCATCAAAAAAACATTTAAAAACCATTTTGTAGGGAGTTTGGGGTTGGGTGCCTCTACGTTTTGGCTCCCCCAACCCAACCCCCCAAATTCCAAGGGGGATATTTTTTAGGCGTGATCGTGTGTGGACCTTTAGCGAATTTTAGCGATGATAGCGCGATGCGAATCTGTTTGCATCTAAAATCGAATCGTCAAATTATGTCAAGTTCGAATTACTCATCTCGATTTGGAAATCGAGGCGCTCAAAGTCTACTTGGCCAAGCTGACCATTGTGGGCTCCTCAGTGACCAACACTTCAGCGCGAGGAGACAGCTAGGGTCGGGAGCCGACAGCCGACAGTCGAGTCATGCTATGCTCAGGTGCCGACAGTCAAGCTGAATAAGGCGAGTGCTGGAAGTGCTGGAAGTGCTTCCAGCTTGTGACGCGAATGCCATGCACAGCATCTGAGCATTCTCAACATTCTCCAAAGAAATGAACCTGCAATCTGCATGAATCTGCATACAGAGAAGTATACACGTGTATCATGTGTCATCTTGACGTACAACAGTGACAAGATCAACATATATCAACATCATCAACATCTATTGCCATTAATTGCCATTATTTGCCTATGCCACCTATGCCCTGAAGTTTCACTCGGCCTGAATTTCTGCAGGCAGCAGCGGCAGCTGGCCCAATGAGCCCCAAAGGCGACGATCCACATGTGTCCAGTGGAAAATGTGGAAACGCGGCTGGTCCATTTACCTTGGTGGAGCCGTGACGGGCTGTGACGGGCTGTGACGGGCTGTGACGGGCTGTGACGGGCTGTGGCTAGGTGCAAAAGGCAACTACACGCTGGAAAATTCTCTTGTCTCTGGCATTCAGCGCAGGATGAGCAGCTTGGCCTAGCTTGGCCCACGTTTTTTTTCACTATGGAAGAGATTGAAAGAGATTGAAAGAGATTGAAAGAGATTGAAAGAGATTGAAAGAGATTGAAAGAGATTGAAAGAGATTGAAAGAGATTGAAAGAGATTGAAAGAGAAAGGGTGTGAAGCAAACAAAGCAAACAAAGTAAACAAAGTAAACAAAATAAACAAGAATTCTTGGGTGAAACTCTGTGAACTCTGTGGAGCCAAGAATTCTGGAGGTCCAATGAGTCTGAGTCCAATGCACGGCACGGCATTCCCCGTGATCTTTCGGCCTTTCGGCCTAGGTTTGGTGACGCCGCAAGAGGCCGCTGAAGTTGCCGGTCGAATCTGGTTGATGTTGAATGATCCGACATAGAGGACACCTGTCACCTAGATGACCCGATAACGGCAACTTTTCAGAAAGATGTCGTGAAATGGTTCAGTAAAGCAGTTGGGTTTCTAGATGATCTAGAATACGGAGTGGATTCCGGAGTGGATGATAAAGGGCTAAGGAGGAGCTGCTTGTACCAGGATCAATTGAGATGTTTTCTTTTTGCAAATTCCAAAGCAACTCTGTGCCAGGCGTTTGACATTTCCAAGGGAGACATTGGATTTGAGAGGCAGAAGGGTGGAGAAGTGTGGAGAAGTTGCGCTTTGAATATCTTTGGTGCGTTCATGTGAAATGTTTCTTTGCAAGGCAGCACTCGAATGAATCTGAAAACGGCGAGGCACTGGAGGGACAGTCGTTCAAAGACTGCATAAGCAGCATATTTGGACTGTGTAAAATGTGTAAAGACATTTAGGATCATTTAGGTGCGTTCTCCTTGCAGTGGTGGACCTCGTGTCACAAGCGATGAAATCTCATTAGGCAAATATGAACATGTCGAGTATGTCGACCGATGATACCGATGTCGACCATGTTTGGGATCTTGTCTTCGTTTCATTGAATGTTCCAGTATTCCAAGTTGGTCACGCTGGGTTTGAACAGTTTGCATACTTTGGCATGATTTCACACCGGACCCGTGGACTTGTGGACTCAGATGCCGGCAACTACATACCACATCGAAGTTGATCGGCCCCATCCTAAGATGCCGAAATTGAACGAAACATTGAACGAAAATCATGGAAAAAAACATGGAATCTCTGCAGAGTCGCCAGGAATCATGGCGCCTCTTTCGGCCCGTGCGCAGGTTTTCGAATCATGAAGCTGGCTGGCAAATGGAGAAGTGCCTGAGACAAGGTGACAGCGATGACAGCGATGAATGGGCTACAGATGGCTACAGATGGCTACAGATGGCTACAGATGGCTACAGATGGCTACAGATGGCTACAGTAGATGTCCTGAAGATTTGGTTGTGGTTTTTGTGTGGTTTCCAGCGAAGCTTTTCTCGTTGTGTTGCTGATCTGCAATGATCTGCAAGGCCTAGAGGTGGACTTTGCTTTGAAGGAGCAGGTGCCACATCTTCCGCACGTCTCCTGTCTTGGCCTGGAGGAAATCAAAAGGTGTTGACCCCAGGAGATAGAAAGCCTCACTGGCCATAACTGGCCTCCAAAAGCGATGAATTTTTGAGTCATACTGAGTCCAATTCGGAAACCTATTCGAAGCATCTAAGAATCTAAGACTAATCTAAGATTGCTTGTGCATCCTGTGCATCCCGTGCATCCTGTGCGTCAATTTGGAACCATGAACACCTCAGGCTGGCAGTACCGCAAAATGTGGCCATTGATGTTGAGGGCGCAGGCGACCTTACAATCCCTACAACGCTGATGTTTGCTTCATAGCATTTCATAGCAGCTTAGCACTTTCCACGATGTTATTTTTGCGCTTGAACAGGTGAAATTCCATGATGCTCTTTCTCATTTGTGAGATTGGCTGACTGATCAGTCTAAAATTCAGCCACTAGAAAAACCCGTGAAACAATGAACATCAGTGAGATAGTTAAGGTATGTTGAGGTGTTTAATGTCTTTGTGATTCTCCAGGAGAGAACTTTTTTCATTTTTTTTCTGCGTCGAAGAAACTCCAGGAGTTGTGGACGCCACAATGGACTGCTTGAGGGCATCCGGCCTACCGCAGGAAGCTTCTGAAGAGGCGTGGCCCGCCGTGGCCGCTGTGGCCGGCCATCATGTGATGTTTTTTTTTTTTAATGATGCATCAGATGCATCTATAAAAGTTATAGATGTTTTGTAATCGTTCTATAAAATTTCTATAAAAATTATATATTTCTATATACGTATTTCTATTGTCATATATTATACATGTTCTGTCGTATTTCTATGTTCTGAAATAATTTCTAAACAAAACGTTCTGATGGCTCTGATGTTTTTGAACGTGAAATCCGCAACTGGAGGTTGGCAAAGCATTGAAATTGAGATTGGAGAAGGGGGTCGACTATTTGGAGGCTGAAAGGGGCGTGGATCGATGTGGATCGATGTGGATCGATGCACATTTGAAATGGCGGTTTGCACCGGGCTTTGCGCCGGGCTAAAGTTGTTGATGTTGTTGATGTTGTTGCGACATGTTGCGACTTCGCAAGGACGCCAAGCTGGGTTCTGAGCTGGCCAGGGACCAAGCACAAACTCATCGAAGTCGGAACGAGTGGTAGAATTTGGGCTGCCAAATGCTGCCAAGGTAAATCCTAATGAGGGAGATGAGGCTGCCCTTGTTGGGACCCTAATTGTGGCATGCAACTGGTGAACTGAGATGGAGAAAACATTGAGAGAAAGGCAGAGACAGCAACGCAGCAACTCGAAAAAGTGTGAAGGTTTGGGTTCATGCAATATTGATAATGAAGTTTGATAAGATATGATTAATACATATTAATACAATACAATATCAATTCTATATTAATCATGTTAACTGCAATATATTATTATTATTATTACTATTATTATTATTATTAGTATTATTATTATTATATTATATATTATATATAATAACATAATAGTTATTTAGATATGATTCTTGAAATGATATGATTATAAACAACTTTGCAAGTTGTGCCAAAATTCTGCTCCGATTTCCAAAGTGTCAGGTCTTGGTGATATCCAGCAACGCGATCAGGGAGTCCTGCCCGATCTCAGGAGCTTTTGTGCGCTCCAAGGTGCGAGACTGGGAGACCCGGAGGTGGGAGGATTTTGGATCGAACAACAATTTTCGGAGGCAAAGAAAATGAACGCACACACATACATTGACATATATATATTATATATATATATATGTATATGATATGCGTATATATATATATTACTATATAATATGCACATAAATTACACACGTATTCACAAAAGATACTGTTAAAATATGTTGAAATTACAGTGTAGGTTACGGCGCAATGTACTATGCGACGCTACGACGCTACGACGCGCACAGGTGGGTTTGCCTTTGCGCTCTGATCATCCACCTGCCTGGGTCCCAGTGGTCCCAGTGGTCCCAGTGGTCCCAGTGGTCAAGGGACCGTGGTGATATCCCCTGAACCATGGCCATGTGCCACTTGTGATGCTGGATGCTGGATGCTTAACATGTAAAACATGTACTAAGATGTAAGTGATGTAAGCACCTGAATTTCATGGGGTTCGTGTTCTATCATGATATCACCAAGGCACGCTTCATCATCACCTTGGTTGGTCACAAGACACTCGGCGAATCATTCTACTGTGTGATGTGATCCAACTAGCCACAGATGTTGCGCAGTCGTACGCGTCGTGCTAGGAATGGACCCACGAACTTGACGGAGGTCGGCGACAGTGTGGCAGCTTTGTCCGTAGATGAGGACGCCAGACAAGATCTGACAAGTGAATGAAAATCGTTGAAAATGCTGTGGATTGCTGTGGGCTACTGCGTTGCTGATCGCGTATCCTGCGTTGTGCCAAGTTGTGTAGTAATTTTGCGGTCTTTGCAGAATTGAGGAGCTCATAGCAAAGATGGCAAAAGCCGTGACGAAGGATGAATTTGTTTCGGCATTTGAGAGTCGTCTGGGTGACATCACTCTGTTGCCCAGCTGAAACTTCAACTGAACACCAAAGAAACTGAACTGTTCTGAACTGTTCTGAACTCTGTTCCAAATCCGATTTATTGCTTGGCGCTCCTTGGCGGGCCATAGTGAGATCCAGTGAGACTGAGGTTGCCTCACGCGCACATGCATGCGAAACGGAATGCACAAGATGACATGCTTCTCTCTCCGAAGGCGCTCAGACTGTGCCAACAACAAACTTCCTAAGACCATCATTTTGCAGCTTTGGATTCGCATGGAATACACTATAGATGAATATCGATGAATTTCGACATGAATATTTTTCTGCCCTTTCATGTAATTTTTATACTGAGTATACTGGTTTCATGTACGCGTCTTTCCTAGACTTTCCTATTTGCTACAATTTTTAAAGAGCTGCATCTGTGGCATTGGTTGCTCCGAGCTCATGCCCCAACATAGCTCTTTGGTTTTCTTGTTTTCGGAAGTTGCTGGATTGACCTGGATTGACTTGATTCTTGGGATATCTTAGGATATGTACAGTACTATTTTATCTGCTTTGGGGACTTCTTGTTCATTTGGCTTATGTTGAGAGTTTGTTTCGGTTGCAAAATTAGCATAAATTAGCTGGAGGATTGTAAGTCGATGGTTTCTGAATAGTATTTGGAGCAAGAGATGCTGGGGTTGGACAAAAAAGCCAACCACATAGCTTAGCAAATGCTTAGCATGTCCACAAGCGTGTGTGCAGATGAATTTTGAGCTACAGCTTGATCGATAATACTGGGTAGATTTGTAAAACAAATATAAATCAGTTTCACAAAATTCAATGTAAATGCAAATGCAAAGAAATGCAAGCCTCCAGCGCCCAAATGCAGCAAAACTATGCAAAGGTCAAGAGCGTACTGTGCCAAAATGCCACTGGTATAGGGTTGAAGTGTGCAAGTATGCCACAGATTATGCCTCTGTTTCTTCAAAAAATCTATTTGAAGGCGGAAACTCAAATGGGTCATTTTTGCACAAAGCTTCCGCCACAAACATTGCAAGAAATAGGAAATCCTGTTGTGCCAACAAAAACAGAGCAGCAGTTTTGGTGAGTTCTGTTGAACCTCACAGAAGTCTCGTTTAGTTATGATATGTTATGATACTCTAGACTCCTTTTCTGATTTGCAAAAGTATCCAGAATTTGCTGCATTGAAGGCATCATGGACATGGATTTGAGTCAGCCGTCAGGGTGCATCTCCAAAGACCAGAAGGCTTTCTCACGTGAATACGGGGAATGCGCCCATCCAGACTATATCCAGTGCTTCCCTGGGAGTCATTGGGACCAAGAGCTATGTCAACAAGGCCAAGGGCCGGGTTTGAGGAAGGCTTAGAAGGCTTAGAAGGCTTAGAAGGCTTAGAAGGCTTAGAAGGCTTAGAAGGCTTAGAAGGAGTTCAGTTGAAACACGTTGCCTTCAAACGGTGCCTTCAAACGGGAAAAATACAAACTAGTACAAACTAGTCCCAATGGATCGAATCATCCATGCTCATAGAAAACTGCAGTACAATCTGTACAATCTGCTTGCGAGGACGGCCACATTGTCACAAATGCCTGGAACTTATTGCGATTTCTGCGGAGTGCGATTCCACAAGACTGTGTTTGAACCAATCTGAACCAATCTGAACCAATCTGGACCAATCTGAACCAGCATGGAGCCTTAGAGAGTTTCGAACTGACAGCTGTGGCAAGGTGAAGAGCGACATTGGCTTTGACCATATGCACAACCACGGTCCAGCAGATGATTTAAGATCCAACGTAGCTATTGGCGTCCGACGAACATGGAGAGCGGTGGCATGGGCGCAGATCCTTGTCTTGGGATGTTGGCACCAAGCATTGAGAGAGAATTATCAATGTATGATGGTGTACGAATGGTGTCCGGTGTCCGAACGGTGTCCCTACTTCAGGTACGTGTCCCTCTTATCAGTTTTGTGCACAGATTCTCTGTTGTACTTGCGTATGTGTCCGAGATTGTCCGAGTATATGTAGCGCGTTGCAACACTGCGGCATCGAATTTTTGCCGCGGTGTTATTTGATGTTATTTGTGTTATCTACTTCACCATCTTCAATAGTGTCAGGAAGTACGCTCTGCCATTGGTCATCGGAGTTTTCATCGCGATGGTTTGGATGAACATCGATGAGCATAGCTACCACAAGGCCAGGATTCAAAACTGGACAGACTGGACACAGCTTTGATTCTGACTGTAGACTCTGTAGACTTGACCTTCCACACAGCATCAATTGATGCATCAATTGACGGTTGAACTTCCGAGGTGACACATGACCCCATCGTGGAAGGGTGGGAGATCTTTGGCCACGGCGTGCTTGTCTTAGTTCCAAAAAGTTTCAACAAGATTCGGATCTGTCATTGTCAAATTGAGAGAAACACGTGATTCACGTGATTCACGTGATTTCTCTTAGTGTGGAACACGTGGAACATGTGGAACATGTGGAACATGTGGAACATGTGGAACATGTGGAACATGTGACCACAATGTGGAGGTGAGCATGCACTTCTTGGTGAACGATATCTTCATGTGCTTTTTCTTCGGTCTCGCCATCAAGGAGGTAACGGAGGCCCCTCTGTAAGGAACTGTGATCATCGGTGATGTTTACTTCATCGTCTTTCATGGTTTTTATTTCATGATGTTACCATATGTGTTTTTTTCATGATATTTTGAATGCTCTTGTTACTCTTGTTGTTTTGTTATCGCGGTGCAAACGGGTGCGGGTTGTTAAGCCTTTAACTTTCAGAACGTCCTCAGAACGTTCAGCTGGATACTGCCAGGCGTTGCTTCCGGGCGGCTCTTTGAGCCCCATCCGACGGGCAACGAATCCGCTGATGGCGACGCTGGGAGGTGTCGTAGGTCCAGTGGCAACCTATGCCCAATGCTCAGCCAATGCTCAGTAAATGCTCAGCATGTGTGTTTTGTTATGTTTGTTTTTTCTGTTTGTTCATTTTTGTTCCTAACAGCAGTGCTTGTTGAGAATCTCTGGGTTTGGTAGTGGTGTGTTGTAAGCTCAAAACCCGGAACGGAACCCTGGAACATCCTGGAACGCTGGAACCCTCCTGCTGGGTTCCAATGGGTTAATTCGACTAATGCGACTAATGTGAATGCTTTTCCATAATGTTCAATGCACTGCAGTGTATGGCAGGCGGCAGGCATGACACAGACGTGAAGGAGAGAGCCAAGGGAGCCATGGACTATCATGGGAATCATGGGAACGTCACTGAGGTGATTTTCACAGTGATTTTCTATGAGACTGGCCTTTTCGACGGCATCCTCTGTGAGGTGGATACAGGAGGGGGTTGGAGCCTCACACCACCAGAGTTATCGATCTCGGAGCCAGCTAGATCACTAGATGTTGTGCAAATTGCCATGCCGATCCATGGCGCCGAACGTGATTCCGCATCGGATTGGAAAGAAACGCCTTGGAGTTGTATTTGTGATAACGCTCCAGACATTGTCAGACCAAGAAATCTTACCCCGGAAAGAGTCATTCATTGTGAGCTGTTGCTTTGTTGCAGTGGTTCGATTTTATGAGAGGTACCAGTACGGTTTGCACTGTTTTTGTAGCATTGTATTTCGTGCCTTTATTGAAGTTTGGGCCAATTCATACGGGAACAGGCCAGTTTCACATCCAAAGATCTTAGTGAGGTTCATCTTCTGCAACTGACGTGAAACTATGACAGCTCTATGAAACTACGACAAGTTTCGTGCAACTGTCACGTTAGAGTTCCGATCAGTTCACATGAGGTGAGGACCATCGGCGGCTAGCGGGTAATTCGACCTACAACGACACTCACGCGACTCACGAGGAGGTTTCCTGCGAAAATGGAACGATCAGCGAACGGAGACCATGGACCATGGGACATCATGGGACATCAAGGGACCATGGCAGCGCCATTTTCGAGGCGTACAGAGACTGTGGCCTCGCAGATTTCATTAACGGCTGCAGCCTCAGAGAACATAGAACAACACCATCCTCGCGTTTCCCCAAGCCTTTTATATCCTACAGTATTTAGCCACGTTTGCAGCCACTGTAACATGTTCAAACTCTTTGGATTCCGTACTTCTTTGCAAGGTGTTTTCTGTGGCATTAGGAGTTGCCCATGGCATGATTTAGGGCTGTACATGGCTGTGCGCTGTAGGTTGGGGAGTTCCCACTGCCACTGACATTTCCTTGGCATGGATGCCAGCAGCCTCAGCACTCCAAAGAGCACTCCAAAGAGCACTCAGATCGCATGGTCACAGCGCCATGCTGCGCCCATTTCGTCACATCGCGCCAGGTTCGCCATCCTGGTCTTCGGTGCCGGACATCCTGCCATTAACTACCTCCTGCTGCTAGCCATTGCGGACGATGCACTGGGGATGGCACGCCATTCAGAAACACGTAAAGAAAACCGCATGACACACAGAGTGCAGAACTACACGAATATCAACACGAATATCACTTGCATCATCACTTGCATCACTTTGCTTTAAACATTTTAAACATGTGAACTACCCAGTATTGTGAACTTGGCAAACTTGGGAGTCGAATCGACGATGTGGCCGTGCAAATGTGAAGGCCATCATTGCGATAGCGTATCCTGATCCTATCCATCCAGTGGAACCGGTTTGGCGCTTCCCTTAACCTGTGATAACCTGTGTCCTTTGACAGGTGTGACATGGTGTGACATGTTCCCCTTGCAGCTTTCCCATGGTTTCAGTTTCCACATGCAAGTGATGTGATCGAAACTAGGTTTACCCTGGTGCTTGCTGGAACCATTGTAGCGGCCCTCCTAAGATTTGATGGGCACTCAGATCTCGCACATTTGCATCACAGATCGTCACACATCATCATATCATCTGATATCATCTGTGCATATCTGTGCATATCTGTGCAAAGTTGGTGACCTTTCACAGCCTGAGAGCCTGAGGTTGGAGTGAAGTACTGGAGTCCCTACGTGTTTGTAGCTGGTCCAATCTCTTGGCTTGGCCTCATCAAAGCGCAGGCGAGCTCGCAGAGAATGATCCATAATCCATGGGGATCCGTAGGGGATCAATGGGGGATTCCAAGGGAAATCACTTCGGATTCCAAGGGGATTCCAAGGGGATTTCCCTTCTTGCAGCGTTTCGTGCAGCGTTTCGTGCAGCGTTTCGCAGGTGCATCCAGCCTTGGCGTTAGTTTGCATTGTGCGTGCTCCCAGTATCTCCCAGTGATGTCAACACTGCCAGCAAATTTGGTGGATCAAACACACCAGCAATAGAGCAGCCATGAGAAGCTGATGCAAACAGTAGAAGATAGTAGAAGATAGTAGAAGATAGTAGAAGATAGTAGAAGATGTTCCATTTTTCATGCAGTTTCAGTCCCTGTTTCAATATTTTGTTTCACTTTGTGCATTTATGTACACAAGATGTCTCAATCCTTGGACTGAATCTGCTCTGCTAGGTGCCGTTTATGCCAGCGACCCATGAACACGGGAAGCACGACCATGACGATGAGCTCCATGCGAAGTCGGAGGCTGGAAAAAACTGTCGAAATTAGGAAACTCTCTGAAACACTGCCCGTCACTGTCGGTTGCAGCGTGGCTCCTAACTGTACAAATTTGTACAAATACAAAGTACATTGCGAGCTCAAAAAGTCAAATGTTGATAAATGGAGGGAAGTGCAGGGCAGTGCAGGGATGAGAAAAGTCCAGAGACAGAGACTGCTCCAGAAGTCAACAGCTTTGACAGCTTTGACAGCTTTGATACAGGTTCGTTTGATTGGTAGCTTCATTCCAAGAGCCAAAAGTGGTCTTTGCCTCGGAGTCACTCACTTCGGCTCTTTTTTATGGCATGTTTGCCACTGTATTGCCTTGATGGTTGCATGCCCCAGCGGAATAATCGCAAACGCACATCACGGATCAAAGCGGAATCTAGAGAGAGAGAGAGAGCACAGATGAAATGAATCACAATGAGTCCAAATTGACCAAGAGTTTCGCTTAGCTCTTGCTCAGAAATTCTTCAAAGAGCGGCCCAAGAGTTCTTGGCGCGGAGGGGTCAGGGGCTCACTACTTTGGAGTGATGGAACGATCAAAAATCATCAAAACCCATTCCAAAATCAAACGCGGTGAAGCAAATTCACACAATGTCGCAACATTTCATAACAGTCATAACATTCAGCTCTTTGGGAAAGAGATGGAATGGGCTTCACCGATCTTCACTGCAGGTGCCCCACTGCATGCCTTCGAGCATCACTGCAAGCTTCTCGTTGTCCATGGCTCAGTGGGGCACATTCCTGGGCTTTGGGCTTGGGGTGCTCCTGAAGATCACAAAGGGTAAAGCAAAGGGTAAAGCAAAGGGTAAAGTATATTGAAGATGATTGAAGATGATTGAAGATGATTGAAGTATGGTAGAGTTGACCCTCCAAAATGGTGATGATGATACTCCACAAAAGTTCAAGGATTTCTTGCCGGGATGGAGCTGAAGCCTATTCCACAATGCGAGTTTGGAGCCAGAAACCATTACAAGCCCGGGCTGCAGTTTGCCCCGCAACATAGCTTCAGATTTGATCTTTTGATTTTGGCATGCCCTTCATATTTTTCCCAGGATTTTGGCATGTTCTTCTTCGGTGTAGCAAATGCGGGTGCTCGATCCTCAGCATCCTCAGGATCCTCAGGCTCTCTGACTTTGACCGAATTCACTGGAATTTCCAAACTAAAACATGGACAGACATTGAAAATACAAATACGGTATTGAAATATATTGAAATATAAGATCATGTACAAAACCAGAAACTCCCAACTGAATTCATGTTTTCAGGTGAAAGTGGATGGCATGGGAACTCTAACCGGTGCCACCACCATAGCCCTCATCGTCCAGTGCTCAGAGTGCTCCGGTATGCTCCGGTGCAGCATGTCAAATTCCTTTTACAATTTGTTCTCCTTGGAACACGAAAGACGTCAAAAGACCAAGTTGATCCAAGTTGTAGATAGTTTTAATATGTTTTAATCACATATATGTTCCAATCATGTTCTCTGATATTAAAAGGATTTCACATTCATTTTTCCTTCGTCCCATGAAGCGTGATCATTGTTGGCCACACAAGAAAGCCGTAGAGTCAGATTTTGTCGCCACAGTATCGCGCTTTGCAATCTTTCTCCCTGGTCTCAGTTGGGGAAGACCCTTGGCATCGTCTTCTTTGCCATGGTGGCACATGCTTTGGGTTTCCTCTTGCCCGTAGGCGGAGTGTGCTTTGTATATCTTTGTATCTTGTGCTTGCGATCCTGCACTGAAGCAACCCGCCTGTGATGGCCTGTGATGGCCACAGGTTTGACGGTGGTGGACCTTTTTGCGATGTCATCCTTGGGTGGAGTCGTGGCCTCAGCGACTCATCGACTGGACGGCGTGGACTGCATGGACTGCATGGACTGAAAGATACTTGGCGACTTGCTGCGACGACAAATTGTTGGACACGTTACAGGACACGTTGCAATCTGTGACATTGTTGACATTTTTGGAGATTGGGCGAAGCACCATCCCAAGGTTGGCCTGACTGTTGCCCTCTTCGTCTCAAATGAGGCTGGAACTTGTCAAGCCAGGATTAGATCGCATCAGATTGAGCTGTGCAGAGCAGTCTTTTCACAGTTGGTTTCAGAGCCAGGCATTTACAGATAAAGGCCTACAAAGTCAAGCCAAGATGGGCGCTGTGTTCTCTGTGGCATCTGCACTGCTGGCGGTTCTGGCACGTCTTGTTTCAAAGATGCGCCCACATACACGAACGAGACTTGATAAGGTGAGTCGTTTTTCATCTTTTTCCGAATTGTTTACCGCTGTGGATGTGTTCTTTTGTTGATGCATCATTGGCAAATCGGCAAGTCATTGGAATCACTGGTGCTTCAGCAGAGCAACTTCTGACGTGTTATCAAGTTAATTCAAGTTACATCCCCAAGCCTTTCCGAGCACCTGATCATTCCTGGCCCACATTCCGTGTGCTGCTCATGTGCCTTTGCCAGGCATTTTCCATTAAGGCAGTAGGCGACAAAATTTTCCATCCACCACAGGCTGAAGTCGGGCACTCAACAGTTTGCACCCGTTTGATCCCGTTTGTGCTGTGAGAGATGCTTCTGAATCGGGATCCGTATCAGAATCTATGGCACTATGTTTTTTTTGCTGAGGCAGAAGAAACTGAGGTGGAGCTCTTTAGCGACGAAGAAGTGGAGGTGTTGCGCTCTGTCCTTTTTGAATCTTTTTGAACATTACAATTCTTTAGACATCTATTAAATTCTTAGATCTCACCGAATCTTACCTTTAAAGGCTGAAGAGTGGCTCGATGTCGTTGCCATGAACGACATCATGCAGGCCGGTTCAAGATTCAGTTTCTGTACTTAATATTGTACCATATGATTCTTTCGTTGTAAACCCTGTCCGGCAAGTTGCTATTCGTACTACAGCTGTCACTTTTGTGACTTTTGTGATTGAGTTTGTATATTTTTTGTGTATTTTGTAAGCTTTTTGTAATCTTTTTAGATGATGTGATTTTCGAGTGCTCCCCCAAAGAGTGCTTGGAAATCCTTCGAACATTTTGTCTTGTGAGGTGCTATGGACACAGCGCAAATACCAGGCGAAATGGAAAGCTGAACAAAGCACGATTCAGTCATATTTATGAAGTGAATGTCATAATCTAGTCATAATTATATGTCACAAAAAAATAGGGTTTATGCATATTTATGCGATAATTCGGCGATAATTATCAATGGTTTTATGCAATGATCCATCGAATGCTTGATTCAGTCGCTTGTCTACACAGTGACTCAAGCGACTTGAGATTGTAGGCGAGAGGCACCGATCTGAACATCAAAAGGTTGGCCAGGCACATGGATCGCACATGGATCGTGGTGTGACTGCCATGTCGTGATTTCTCGAAATCGTGGTCAGCAAACCCGACAAACATGCATCAAAAAGACCTTGCTTGAGAACGCTGATGGAAATCATCAAGCTGTATGCCATCTGGTGGAAATTGTTGGAGCACTTCCAGCCTTACTGGCCTTACTGGCAAATCAAAATCATTCGCAGTTGCCATTGCATGTTCACAAATTCTGCAAAGCCTGTTGGGCATAGCCATATGGAGCTGCAGAGCATTGCAGAGCCCATAGTTGCTGGGTACAGGTCAGTTAGCAAGCAGAACCTGACTTGGCAAAGGCTGGTTTTTCTTTCTCCGAGTAAGTTTTTGCTTCTGAGCAGAATTCGATGTCATGCAAAAGATGCAAACATCTCTCATTGTAGGAGTGATGCACCCCTGGCAGGGAACCTCAGACCCCGACAGTGTCGTGAAAGTTTTGCGTCCATTTTCATGTCGCCTGTTGGACTTAAACATTTTTAAAGTCGTCTTTAAAGTCGTCTTCACGATTCTTCACAATGGCCTCTTGGACCTGGTTTTTCATGGTCATTCCAAGTCATTCCCATTGACTCCATTGACTATCTGCAGCTCAGGGATTTTCGCGGCAAAGCAGCAGAGATGCAACAGGAAGCAAGGAGAATAGCAGGACTTGGGTAGATGATACTTTGCTGAATCATTCTAGAATTCTAAGATCCACAACTGGAACAAGACAAAGAACTTCTTCAATTTAAATTTCAAAGTGGAGATAATGTGGAAATATCTGGAGAGATCTTGAGAGGGGACGGAGAGGAAATGGACTGCTCACTGGCTCATTTTTCCAAAATCCAGGAGACCTTCCGATGCCAGCAAGGACACTGTTTCAGTGTGTTTGAGCCTGTTTGAACAAGACTTTCACATTACAGAGGGGTAAAGGACAAGATTTGACAAGATGGATAATCCATGACAATCCATGTGATTTTAGATTCTTCACCTGAACGTAAAGGTCATTGGACATCATTTCGGAAGCAGGCTGAAAAAGGGCAGATCTAGGCTCAATTGCATGGTAGATATGATATTAATACATGTGAATATAACGCAGGCCATACGCAACTCCACACGTGTATAGGCCAGTCATGTCTGCCAGCGAAGGGATAACACCAATTGCATCCCGCTCCCGCGGCTTGGCTTAAGCTACGACCGACCGCTACAGAAGGACAACGGGAGCGCGCGGAAGAGGACTTGCGGCATCCTACCTAATCCAGAACACGAAAGCTCACGGAGTGCGTAAATACCGGCACCCAGTCTCGGTTATCAGCCGTGCGCTCTACCCTGGGGCGTACGGTGGTCCTGTAGCCAACTGCTCAAGAGCTACTTCCATACAACCTTCAGCCAAACTTGGCACTGCAAAGCTTGACTGGTGGCTGATTGGACGCGGTTCTTCTTCATTGACTTCGGCAACCTGCGCTCCTTGCCCTACAACCCGTCGATTGGACTGGTGTAAACGGAAGTGGTGCGAAGCGCAGCAACCGAAGCAATGTCGCAGAACAACGCTAGCAGCAACGAAGCCAATTGGTCCTTTGCGGCCCCGGCGCCTCCATCGGGCACTCCGGGATCAGGAGACAGCGGTGGTGGAGGTACTACCTCATGGGTGGCTTTCGGCAGCATTGCGCATAGCGGAACTTCTGTGGGCCAGGCCAAACTACTCCAAGGGGTAGACCACAGAGATCGTCTTTGGCAAGATCAGCGAGGCCCTTCGAGACCTGCTATAGAGGACAAAAGTAATGTAGGTCCTTCGGCCAACATTCCACGGAGTAACGGTGCAAGCCCTTCGGCTGGCACTGCGAAACATAAATCCTCCCACAGTGCGACTCGGGGCGAAAGTGAACTTCGCAAGCAGCTTCTACATGTCAGCAATGAGATGGACAAGAGTGAGAAAGCTAGGTTTGAACTTGAAGAAAGAGTCAAATTGTTTGAGGACGCAGCACGTCATCGCAATGAAGCAATGTGTGAAATGGAAATTTATTTGGAAATTATTCCAACTACAACTTCGACATGTATCCACAATATGTCTCCACTGAGGTAGAGTACGTGAGGGAATCAATAGCCAGCGCAGCACGTATCATGAGTGAACAGTCTGAGGCTCGGCACATCTCATGGATGAAGGCTCTACCATGAGGATCATGGAACTTGGTGTCGTCGCAATGAGCTTGCTGAGGATGGAGCACGACATATCATTCAAGAAAGCGAAATTGCACGGCAACCATACCACTCTGAACCCGAGAATGCAGAACGTCACATACAAGAACAACATCATGACGCAGAGGAGACGGCAGAACAATTTCGGCAACAACGAGAAAGACTTCAACAAGAATGTAGCCATTACGTTGCCGAGAAGGAGGAGATGAACTGATGAACCGTCAGGAGATGGCATCTATCACTTCAAGGATAGCTTCCAATGCGGAGATGCTGATGGTGAACAATGAGGATCTCCAGGCGAACGCCCAGAACGCCGTGATGATCAAGGATCAAGAACTAACTAGTCCAAATGCAGGGTCAGTTCACAGAGTTTGCGGAGAACATGAGGCACAAGGATCTCATGATTGAGGACCTGAAGCAGAAACTGCGTGATCAGATTGCCTATGCAGGTAAACTGAAGACCTTGTCTAACATGGATCTCGACAATGCGAGGATGAGCTTGACGGACTCCGAGATGATGTTGAAGAACGAGGTCATCGAGCAGAGAAGGAAGATGAGCAACTACGAGCATGAATGCATTAACGAAAGAATGGTTGCTGATCAACTTCGACGTGACAAGGACATGATCTTGGACAACGGGGCCAGTATCAAGGCAGTGATGGAGAACATCAAGGAAGAGAACACTGAACTATCTGAAGTCAACTATCAACTTCGCGTACTGCGTGTCACTGAGATCTTGCAGGGCAGGTGAGATGATGTTGCCAACTCGCCCAATTCACTGGTTGTCGAAGAACTTCGAAAAGAATTCAGCCGACTACAACAAGAACTGCGCGTGAAGGATGGCCGGATCTTCGAACAGAGGGCAGCAATGGACAAAAGAACGGCTGAAAAGGTAACGGAGATCATGATTCAGAGAGATGATGCGATCTTGAAGAACGGCAGACTTTACGTCGAGTTGCAGGAGGCGAACAAGAAGCTTGGTGAACTCGATACACAGCGTGGTGGAGCGATGGAGGTAGTGCAATCTGCGCCCCCTCCACCTCATGCCATTCCTCAACCCTGTGGCATGAAAGTGATCTACGGATTGCCGAAGGCTCCTGCATTGACGACATCAGTGAACAACATGATGAGCGAGAACCAGATGAGCGCTTTTGCGCTTCTTCGTCAGCCCAAGCTACGAACCCTCTAGATGAGATGAACCAGAAGCTCAGGGACGAACTCGCTGAACAAGAAGCCCGAGCTGGAAATGGACGCATTGGAATAAGATGCCTATTTCCTAATATATAAGGCAAGAAAAAAAACATATTGTTTAAACTTTGAACGACTCCATGGCGCAGGAAATGAAGACAGGAAAATACGATTCTTATTTCCCCTAATATAAATCAATATTGGATGCTGCCGAAGATGAAAGAAGGGAAATGAGGGTCTTATTTCCCCTCATGTAAGCAGGGAGAAACCAAATAATATGTGCACTACGCGATGTTTCGGGAAATGGAAGAAAATAGGTCAAGCAAGAACAGATATCATAAGATAAGATCTTTTTTCCCTTGATAAGAAAAGAAAAACAGATGCATATTATTTGAACTACTCCCTGTGTCGGGAAATGAAAGAAGGTAAAAACGATCCTCATTTCACTTGATGCTTCGGACAATGAAAGAAGGGAAATCATATCCTTATTTCCCCAAATAGAAATAAACAATAGACATATTGTTTGAATTACTCCATGTGTCGGGAAAGAAGGAAAATAAGATCCTTATTTCCCCTACAAGTCAAGAAAAGACATATTGTTTTGAACTACTCAATGTTGCGGCAAAGAAGGGAAATAAGACCCTTCATATACGTAAAGAAAAGACACATAAAATGGAAGCAGGAAAATAAGAGCTTTATTTTTTCAAATATAAATCAAGAAAAAAACGCAAACTATTTGAACTACTCGATGCTGCCGAAAATGAAAGAAGGGAAGTAAGGTCCTTATTTCCCCTCATACAAGCAGAGAGAAGCCACATAATAATGTGCACTACGCACTGTTTCGGGAAATGGACGGGAAATAAGATCCTTATTTCCCTAAATTTAGGTCAAGAAAGAACAGATATCATTTGATTTGCTGGATGTTTCCCGAAAAGAAGGAAGATAAGATCCTTATTTCCCTTGATACAAGGGAAAACACCGATTATTTGAACTCTTCCCTGTGTCGGGAAATGGACGCAGGGAAACAAGATGCCTATTGTTTGAACGACTCCATGGTTCAGGATTTGAAGACAGGAAAATACGACTCTTATTTCGCCTGAGGAGAACGTCACTTGTCACATTTGGATCTCCTTTAGCTTCTTGATGGGCAACGCACCTCCATACAACATTTGGGTGGAGAAGGGGTTCACTGACATCTTCGCCAACAAGATCAAGGAGATCGATGCGGTCACATCAAGGCCCATCTTCATTCACCTGTGCAAGGACGCGAAGTTCCATGGCGTCCCACACAGTTTCACGGACACGTCGAACGAAGTCTACGATGTGTTGACGAGCTCTTCTGTGAACAACGACAACTTCTGGAGATTGTTGTTTGCTCACGGCGGCTGCCATTACAGCCAACGGAC